ATGAGGGGACTTGGCAGTGACTAAGCTGTAGTGTTGGTACTGAAAACTGTGACGCATTGTATTGAGGTGGGTCAAAAGGATGGCACAACAACTGAGGATCAGTCCTGCTGTATTCTGAGTTTCTTATAACCATTTAGTTTCCAGTTTGAGAAGAATGTGAATGCTGAATCAAGAAAAGAGCAGTGAAAGTGAATAGGCTAGCCAGTCAGACCTAAACAGAGCCTGAGTTTGGGGTATCAACACTGCCTGAGCAGCCCCAGCAGCAGGGGGGGCACCAAAGGGCTGAGGGGAAGGAGGGGCCGTGGTGGGGGCCTGCTCTGCCAGGTTTTACCACTGGGTATGAGGGACGAAGGGAGTGTTCCTGGCACTAAACTTCTATGCGTTCGGTTGGGTTTTTATTTGTGATAAGTTCATTAGAACTTCTCAGAACTCCTAATTAACTAAAATCTCTAATGTCTTTTTTTCTTTTTTTTAATGTGTTATTTATATATGAGAGGAGCAGATGACGAGAAAACAAGCTCAAATTAGATATTGGTCAAAAGAAGCAGTTTCTAATTGCCTAGGGTCATTACAGCTTCAGCCTCATCTCATAACTTCTGCTTCACCCTCAAGACTAGAGCAGTCATTGATGTTCAGTGTCCTGAGGTACTTCAAGATCATCAAAGGTAGATAGTTTTCAATAAAAAGGTTGAGTCAGGATTTTCTGGCTAACCTTCATTTAATCAGTTAAATGTTAGAAACCTCATTTTCTTTAAGCATTTTGGTTTACCAGGGTTTTAGTGTATAGGGGATAAAAATGCTGATAAAAGGTGAATCTGAAACTTTATTATAAAAAGTACTAATCAGCCATTCTTCATCTCCACAGAAGGCAGAATTAGAGAAAATAGGCTTAGATTGCAGGACAGATTTAGGGTAGACATAAGGAAGAACTTCCTGATGGTAAGGGTTACTCAAATCAGAGTACATTATTGTGGGAAGAGGGTGCGTGTCCATCCCTATGCACAGTCCCATGACTCATTCTTAGTGCAGAAAGCTTTGATGTTTTCAGAACTAGGACCTGTCTCCATTTCTCATCTTCCCCACTCCTCCTGCTCTTGTCCCTTCTTTTGGCAGCATTTTATAGGCCTCAAAACAGCTCTCTGACCCATGGGGAGGCCCTTACCTGTCTTTGGAATACAGTACTGTAGAGATAGCTGGGGGTAGGAAAGGGGGCAGTAAGAAGCAGGCTTAAAGTAGCAAATAGGAAACCAACTAATGATAATCATCTTTTTTTAATAGAATTTTTAGAAATTCCTCCTTTCAACAAGCAGTACACAGAATCCCAGCTTCGTGCAGGAGCTGGCTATATTCTTGAAGACTTCAATGAAGCCCAGGTGAGGAGTTCCTTTGGGTAGCTTCCCAGAGGGCTAGTGAAGAGAAGAGCCCACTTGCTATGGTTCTGTTGCTGGGACAAAAGCAGGTTAAAACTTGTGTTTAATAGAAAGCCTTATTATAGTGTGCTGATCCTTAGCCTGAAAGGCTGATAAATAACACGGGGCTTGGTTGTCCCTTGAGGGTTCAGGCCCCCAGAAAGCTGCAGGTGAAGCAGGGCAGTTACCTAGGGAAGCTGCTTGGGCCTGTCAGTGAGGGAAGAGGCGTGGGCCAGGACAGGCTCAGTCACATTTTGGATAGTATTCGGAAGTGTTCAGATTTGTTCTCTGTGACTCACTCAGGCTGCCGTTCAGGAGCTTAGAAGTCACCAGACCCACTGGTTCTGTTCCTTTTCTTCCAGTGTAACACAGCCTACCAGTGTCTCCTCATTGCGGATCAGCATTGTCGAACCCGGAAGTACTTCCTGTGCCTTGCCAGTGGGATTCCTTGTGTGTCTCATGTCTGGGTCCATGACAGTTGCCATGCCAACCAGCTCCAGAATTACCGCAATTATCTGCTGCCAGCTGGGTACAGCCTTGAGGAGCAAAGAATTCTGGATTGGTGAGTATTTGGGAGCCCATCTAGAAGGGAAGAGCGGAGGACAGCAAGCTTCCCGAGGGGGAGGATCTAGGTGAGAGAGTAAATATTCCTAGAAACTGCAATGATCAGAGGATAAATTACACAATTTGAGTGGGTTTGAGATTATGTGAGGAGTTCATCTGGTTTCTTTTCTTTTCCTGGAGTGTACTGCTTAGGGACCTTTTGAAAATGTGTGAGATTTTTCACATGGGTTCAGTATTCTCAACCTGTCAGGTTAGGAGACTAAGTTTTAACCAAGACATTTAAAAATGCAGGCTCAGGAGCATGATTTGGCTTCTTGTCCTCAGGCCAAACCTGGAAATCAGAAGGAGTGGATTAGAGGGTCAGGATCCCAGAGAGTACACATCAGAGAAAGAGGGAAGAGGGGGTGATGCCCCCCAGTGCAGAGCCTTTGAGAGCATTCACATGTACCTGAGTCCCTTTGCAGAAAGGCTGTGGTTGGATAGTATCTGTCATGCTGTGTCTCTGACTCCTTCATAGGCAACCCCGTGAAAACCCTTTCCAGAACCTGAAGGTACTCTTGGTATCAGACCAACAGCAGAACTTCCTGGAGCTCTGGTCTGAGATCCTCATGACAGGAGGGGCAGCCTCTGTGAAGCAGCACCATTCAAGTGCCCATAACAAAGGTACCAGGAAAGTGTGTGTGTTGTTGCTCCAAGGATGTCTGTAACCCTTAGGTGTTAGGCCTTGTGGTCCAAGTCTCAGTCCTGATAGGCTAACCGTATCCATATTTCTAAGAGAAGAAAAGTACCACCTTCAAAAGGTGCGCCAACATGAGTGAAGCACTGGGCTGTTTATGCTTCTCCTGGTGTCCAGTGGTCTGTCTGCTAAACGCAGGGTCAGCCCATAGTGATTCTTACTTCTCACTCCTGGTTGTGATCAGAGGCCCTGGGTATGATAGGAAGGGCTTCAGTTTGGGCAGAGTGGGGTATACTGGTTAGAAGGCTCGTCTGTCGTCTTTCATGGAAGGCTAAATTGAGTCTCCTTTCCTCGTTCGCCTTCCTCTGCTTCCTGCAGATATTGCTTTAGGGGTGTTTGACGTGGTGGTGACGGACCCCTCGTGCCCAGCTTCGGTGCTGAAGTGTGCTGAAGCATTGCAGCTGCCTGTGGTGTCGCAAGAGTGGGTGATCCAGTGCCTCATTGTTGGGGAGAGAATTGGATTCAAGCAGCATCCAAAATATAAACATGATTACGTTTCTCACTGAGGATACTCGGTCTTCCTGGTTTTATCCCCTGCTGTTGTGAAGATTGTGTTTTAACCAGGTTTTAATATGTCGTGTGTAACTGGATTCCTTGCATGGATCTTGTATATAGTTTTATTTGCTGGACTTTTATGATAAAATAAATGTTGAATCTCTTTGGTTGTAGTAACTGGGATTTCTTCATCCATTTCTTTAAGCTTAATCAGAACAAATAGCAAGATAAAACATAATACCGTCTCTGTAGGTTCAGTGGGCTTGTTCTTTGGAAGGATAGCTAGTGAAGGAAAATAACGGAGTTGAATTTTAAAGTTTTTGTTAGCAGATTAACCTGGGCTGTCAAATTCAGTGCTGCTTCCAGATTTTAAAACAGGTTCAGGTAAATAGTTGTGACAAAAGTTGAATGGAATTGGGCACAGCTATTAGTTTCCTGGCAATTTTTAAAAAATCAATTTTTAGAGTTGAGCTCACCAACAGCTGACCTGTGGGTACTGTACGCTCAGAGCTGAAAGGGAAACGGACCAGTCGCTGTTTGCGGGTGGTGCCTGTAGACTTGATGGGATGACTTTCTGCAAGGATAAACACGAGAAACAGTGAAAACACTTGGAAATGTCAGAAGCTCTAGTCAGAGGTCCAAATTTTTATTCCTGTGATTGTAACAGCTGCTGGAAGCCATTCCTTTTGTGCCCCAGCCTTATCCTGTTGCTGTCCTCTCACTCTCTAAAGCAAGGTTTACAAATCTTTTTCTGCCAAATAGTATCTTAGGCTTTGTGAGCCATTTGGTGTGCGACAACTCCTCACCTTTGCCATGACAGCATGAAAGCAGCCACAGACAATAGGTCAGCAACTGAGTGTAGCTGGGTCCCAATAAAACTCTACTTACAAAACAGGCGGCTGGCCATAGTGTGCCATCCTCTGCTCCACACAGCAGTGGAAGGGGTCATCTTCCTCTGAGTTACAGGAATAAGGGTGACAGTATGTGGCAGATGTAGAGATGACCACCAGATAGATGGGCTACAACTGAGGCCAGAATATGCTGCATTTTGCTTCAGTTTGGAGAGAGGTGTTCAGTGAGTATTTATTTTGGTTCACATTGATATGAAGATTGTTAATTTTCAGTGATGGTTGGGCCAGATTAGGAGACCCTCAACTCCTTTGGTTTTTCTGAGGTGGGATAGTTAGACCTGAATCTTCCAGTATTCAAAATCTAACAATTTGACTTAATTTTTTTTCTTAAGGACCTTTTTTTTTGTTAAAAAAACAAAAAACTTTAAACACATTGTCAGTAGTTAGAATTAACCCTCTTACCAGTCTGAAATAATTGGAAGTTACTGGTAAAATCCTTCAGATGCACATTTTTGAAGATCCTTAAGGATGGGCTGTCAGTTTCAACTTCTGGAGGAGGACAGAAGGCCTGTGGAGTAAAGGGAAGCCTATCCGACCTGGTGCTGTTCCGCCTAGTGGTAACATCCAGCAGTTGACCTATTTATAAATATCATTCCTTTTGCACATTACTATTTAACTTTCTGAGCGGTATAACTTAACTGCTTTGTCTCTTGCAGCTTGGACAGTACCTGGGCACACAGCAGGTGCTCAGTAAATGAGCATATCCCACAACTGTTCTCAGTGTAGCAGCTCCTGCGTGGTCAGCAGAGGGAGAGCCAGTGCCACAAGTCCTCCTTGGTGGATGAGTTAAGAATTCCCCTAAGGTGGGACGGGTGTCCTTTTCACAGGGGAAGGAGGGGCAGGATTTATACTCATTCATGTTGAAAAACTGCTTCTAGGAGAAAAAGTAGAGCTTTTCCGGTAGGCTGCAGACATCTGGTGGCTGGCTAGAGAATGGGGTGCTTTGTTTTCTATCTTCTGTTACAACGCAGTGGGACTGACTTATTTAAGTCTGTGGACCAGAAATTCTCACATCCCAAAACTGCAAAAGAAAAAGAGCTGCATCAAAATACCATGCTTTTCCAAGATTTTCTTCAAAGAAATATGTATCAGGGCAACCTGTGGGTCTAGATAATGTCATCTTAAAACTCTTTTTAGCTAAAATTACTTAGGAGGAATCTGACATTTCAGAGAAAGGAGAATAAAGTGCTTTTTTGAATGAGGCAGACCTCTGAGCGAGGCCACCTTCCACTGAATCTCACTGTTAGATTAAAAAAACTTCAGAGTTACAAGGGGCAGCCCCCTCCTTTCAGACGCAAAAGCTGGGGGCGGGCAGGGATGGGAGTGGGGCTAAGGCTGCGCAGCTGCTCGTGTCAGAACCGGGACCCCCGCACAGCAATACACACGCTGACTGAGGACTGGAAACCCATCTCAGCGTCAGGAGTCTTAGTATTTTACTGTGATGATGACTTTTAATGGAAAATAATCGTCGTTGATGATCAGTCTTTTCTCTCTCTCAGCCTTACTTTCTATGTTTATAAAAGGAGGGAATTTGGACTAGATAAATGGCTAAAGTCTCCTTCCAGCTCTGGAATTATACAACTTATTAAAAAGCACCCCCCCACCCCACCCCCCAGTGTCCAATGAGTACCCCAATGGTGCTTGCTCCTACCTGCCCAGAGTGCCACCAGCCTGGGTGTAATATTTGTTATAATCTAGTCGTAATAGTAGTTGAGCCAAATCAGAGTTGATCTGATGATTCCGAACACTGGAGAGAATCTTGAATAGCAGTGAAGACTGGCGGCTAAAACCCTGCAGAGAGAAGGACTCAAGCTGTCATTCCTGTTAGACTCACCAGCTATCCATGTGGAGTGCGGGGGCAGGGGGGTACTGCTTGGAAAAGTCTTGCTGAAAATTCTGTAGCATTAACTGGCCTTCCCACAGTCTCACTTCTACTGGCTCCAAAAATGACTTCTTTGTACTGAGTCCGTAGAATGCATGATTTCCTATGAAAGTACTCTAATTGTCAGTAGGAATTTAGCATCCAGTTACAAATTAATATATTCTGCTGTGTTCTGGGGTTGGAGAGAGCCTGTGTTTTTGGTACAGACAGGTAATTGTATCTCAGCAAAACAGGGGGTTAGTTCAAGGGAGTAAGGAGGCTGGATGTTGGAAAGTAAGAACAAAGTCAGTGCATTATTTGGTGGATTGAATAAACTATTCAGGTCTGAACTACTTTTCAGTGTTGAGGCAGCACATAATTATGGCTTCAAAATCAGTCTGCTACAACATTTTTTATCTTTGTATCTTGTTATTTCTGTGTTTGTATTGGGGAGATGCTTTAACTGACTCAAAGCAAAAGGTAAAGATTCCCCACCCGCAGACCAACCTCTGTCCCTCAGACAGCACCGCGTACTTGCAGTGGCCAGGCTGACTCACCTTCACCAGGATGCTCAGCTGGGCGGCCCCACGTTCGTCCAGTGGGCCCAGGTTCTGACTGACCAGCGAGCAAAAGCTGTGGCAGAGATCTAAGATTTCATTCAGGCAGTGAAACACCTACCCGGGAAAGAGAGTTGACATTAGCAAATGTCCTAAGAGCTAATCCGTTCCCATTCTCCACATGTGACCTCAGGAGAGACAATGCCACGTGCAAGTCCTGCCAGCCTCCCAAATGCAACACGTGTAAAGCAGACTCTTCCCTTCCAGGCAAAGACACTCGTTCTCTTAGTCACGCTGCACGAAACCTCCACTAAAGCGACATCGGTCATTGTCTCTTGGGCCCACAGCGCGAGCTCCTGCCTGGAGCTTTGCTTGCGGTGTTGTTCCCCGTGCCTGGCATACTCTCCTCTTACCTGCTCCAGCGAGTCCCCCTTCTCCCTGGCGCACTCCCTCCCCACCGTAGCTGTTAGCGACCCCTTGCTTCCCTGTCCTCTAGATCATCTGTACTGTTCACGTGGCGATTGTTCAGGCCGCCTGTGTTGTTACTGATCTGTGATGTATGTGTATGTCCTGTTTCTCCAACTAGATTGTGAGCTCCTTAAGGGCAGAGCCATGACTTATACCTCTTTGTATCCCCAGTGCCTTGCATACAGTAAGCACTCAATAAATATTTAATGATGATCACCTGCTCTGATACTCTGCTTTCCCCCAAGGATGCACTCATACAGTACAAGGACAGGCTACCTGTCACAGTGGTTCTTGGTTGTTTTCAGGTCACAGAACCCTTTGGAGTGGCATCTAAGGACCTCACTCTCCCTTAAAAATAACAGCCCAAATACCAGAACAAAAGCGTGTGGCACAACTGAGGAATAACAGCTCACGTCAGAGCTAAAGCATAACTGTTCTATTAGAAACTAGAAGGGGTCATTTTAATCTTCCTGCTTTTCCTAGAATTGGAACCAGCTTGTGAGCTTTAAAAGACTGGTGCCTGGATTCTACTCCAGGGATTCTAATTTAAGTGCTCTGGGTCCTAGATTTTTTTTAAAAGCTCCCAGATGATTCCTTTGTGGAGCCAAGTTTGAGAATAACTTCTCTGAAGGAGATAACATGTGCATACACACATCCCTACACACACACAGCCAGAGACACTACTCCAGTTGTCTGTGAAGACAGCTTCCAAACAGCTGATTGATCTTGAGCCAAAAGACGTCTAAGGAAGTAAATTCTATATGCTTTTCATTAGTCTTTCTATCGTGTCAGAAAGGTCTTTTAAAATTTCTTTAAATCCTTCCTTCTGAGGGTTAAGCACATACTCTTTCTTCTGTAGGTGCTCACCACAAAGACATTGAAGTTCTCCTTTTTAAGATTCCCTTTTAGTTTGCTCTATAAGATGTTAAAAATGGAGACTGAACAGCTGCTTAATGATATAGTTCCATATCCTGGCAACTCAGTGCTTAAGGGAACAGTCAGGCTAGAAGCAATCTGAGGAAATCAACCAGCCCTACTTACAGGTTTCAACAAGATAAAGGACTGAGCCAGCAAATTACTCAGGAAGTGGTCGTGAGCCAGTCGGATGCTTTCAAAGTCTCGGGTAGAATTGATCTGATGAAGCAGCTGTGAGAACTGAGACTCCAGCACGTCTACCTGGGAGACAGTTACACAAGTAATGTTAGTACCTTGCATAGTCTAAGCACTCAAGAACATTAAGATGCCCAGGAGGATGAAATAGAAGTTCTTTGCCCCCAGTCGTCTTCCTCCTATCTGAGCCACTTTAAGGCTGAGCAAAGACAACCTTACATTGCCAAATCTTACAGAAAGTTACGTGCCTATTTCCTAACAACCTCCAATGTCTTGGCAGATCCCCCCTTGTGCATTATCCTCTCCACTGCCTGACTTGGTTAAGTACCATGGGATTCCAGAAGTTAGAGCAAACTATAAAAATCAGGGTCAAGTCAACAATAATTAAATACTACTGCATTGTTGATAAGGACCCTACGTCCTCATTCTCCATCATCCGTTTATTTCCACTTTCCTCTAAAATACCCCCAAGAAACATGCCTGGTAGCATAACCCATGGATTTTCTCAAACCCCCATGTTTCACCAAATGCAGGATTCCTCTCTGGTAACTCCTGCTAACCTCTTGGACTCCTTTTCATACCCCTTCCTTCTACTGATCCATAGACAGAGACCTGGAGGTAGTACTGAAGATTATCCACCAGGAACGCCATGTGATTCCTCAGGCGCCACTTGATCGCGTCGGTCTGGTTGGACTTGAGGTGCTTGCGCTGCATTTGTAGGGCCCAGCAGTGCTGCAGCTCAGCTTGTACCCGGCGCACACTCAGTAAGTACTTGAAAACAACGTTGTATCTGGGATAGAAACATCAGGCTACTCAAGATAAAAACTTCACCCCACCACCATCCATGTGACAGACCTTAGGGCTCTGCGTCACCGACCTCTTCCCCACAAAGGCAGGCAAGATAAGAATGGCTAGAGATATGAACAGATAAACTGGTTTATTTATATGATGGAATATTACACAGCCATCAAGATGAATGAACCTCAGCTGTACAACATAATGTGACTCTAAGCAATATGATTTTGAATAAAAAATGGAAATCTGAAAAGATGACATACAGCGTGATACCATTTTTTATAATGCTTAAAACAACTAAACAGAAAAAAGTACACTTTGGGAACATATATAGATGCTATAAAACTATATAAAAAGGATAGAAAACATGGAATTTAGGATAGTGGTCACTTTGGCCTGGGGGAGGTGGGGGCAGGGCTGGGAAGGCCCACATAGGTAGATGGACATTATCGTCAGCATTCTAGATTTTGTTCTGGGAAGGGGTTTTATGGAATGTATGTATGTGTTTGGTGGGGGGGTGTGACAAGGAAGGAACGAGGGTCTTGCATGGACCAGTAAGAATGTGCTGGAAACCAAGGATTTTGGTTAATGTGATTCTCTGTCTCTAAGGCCCAGAGGAGATAAAATCAAGGATTCCTCTCACTGAGCTTAGCTAACTCCCTGATGTCGAGCCTTGTACTGAGAAGACCTGTAGGAAGAGCGGCTGATTCCTGATGGAACTGGGCTTATTTACCCTATTAAGGCAGGCTTGTGGAAGACAACCTGAGTCCATCTGGTCTTAAAAATTATCTATTTCTAATGGAACAGTATACTGAAAATAGTACACTTGTTTGGATTCTGATTTGAACAAACCACCATAAAAAGACATTTTTTAGATAAATGGGGAAATTTCAGTGTGGACTGGATATCAGATAAGAAGGATTATTCATTTTACTGGGTGTGATGATGGCATTGTAGTTATGTTAAAAACATGCCTTTTTTTTTTTTTAAAAGGACACTATGAACTCATCTACAAAACAGAAACAGACATAATAAACAATCTTATGGATACCAGGGAAAGGGTGTGGGAAGAGATAAATGTGGGAGTTTGAGATTTGTAAATGTTAGCCACTATATATAAAAACAGACTAAAAAAGTAGTTTCTGGGGGAAGGGTATAGCTCAAGTGACAGCGCATGCTCAACACCCAAAAGGTCAGGGGTTCGATCCACAGTACCTCCTGCAAGCAGAAATCAATGAAGAAACCTAATTACCTCCCTCTCATAAAGGAAACAATGCAAGCAAAAAAAAAAAATGTATCTTCTGTATAGCACAGGGAACTATGTTCAATATCTTGTAATAACCTTTAATGAAAAAAATATGAAAACGAATATATGTATGTATATGCATGGCTGGGACGTTGTGCTGTACACCAGAGACTGATACATTGTAAGTGACTGTACTTCAATTCTAAAAAATGCCTATTTTTAACTGTTGTGTTAGTTTCTGATGTACAACACATATATATGTGTATGTGTATATTCCTTTTCATATTCTTTTTCATTATAGGCTATTAGGAACAAGCTACTGAATATAGTTCCCTGTGCTGTACAGTGGGACCTTATTGCTTACCTATTTTATATATAGTAGTTAGTATCTGCAAATTCTGAACTCCCAATTTGTTCTCCTCACTCCCTTTCCCCTCTGGTAACCCTAAGTCTGTTCTCTATGTCTGTGAGTCTGTTTCTGTTTTGTAAATAAATTAATTTGTGTCATTTAAAAAAACTCCACATATAAGTGATAACATACGGTATTTTTTTTCTTTTTGGCTTACTTCACTTAGTATGACAATCTCCAAGTCCATACATGTTGCTGTAAATGGCATTATTTTATTCTTTCTTATGGCTGAGTAGTATTCCATCATATAAATATACCACTACTTCTCTATCCAGTCATCTGTCCACAGGCATTTAGGTTGCTTCCATGTCTTAGCTACTGTAAATACTGCTGCTATGAACACTGGGGGTGCATGTATCTTCTCGAATTAATTTCCTCTGGATATATGTCCAGGAGTGGGATTGATGGATCAGATGGTAAGTCTATTTTTATTTTTTTAAGGAACCTCCATACTGTTTTCACCAAACTACATTTCTACCAACAGTGTAGGAGGATTCCCTTTTCTCTACACCCTCTCCAGCATTAATTTTTTGTGTACTTTTTAATGATGGCCATTCTGACTAATGTGAGGTGATAACCTCATTGTAGTTTTGATTTGCATTTCTCTGATAATTAGTGATATTGAGCATTTTTTCATGTGCCTATTGGCCATTTGTATTTCTTTCTTGGAGAATTGCTTGTTTAGGTCTTTTGCCCATTTTTGGATTGGGTTGTTTATTCTTTTCTTATTAAGTTGTGTGAGCTGTTTGTATATTTTAGCCCCTCTATTTTAAAATAATTTAATAAAACAGGAAGGCAATACAATGCAACTGGTAAATTGCATCAGTGCTGGGCCATGACCACACATACCACCTCTGGAATCACACAAACTAACTTTTCACCTAACAACCTTCTTGATTCAACAGAGGATATGATCTGGGCTATTTGATTCCAAAAATAACAACAAGCTCACATGTAGTAATCAGAATGCCCAATTAAAGCACTGACAAAGTCCATGCAGCTTACTTAGGTGGGCTGTGGGCCCTGAATCTTCTCCTTGAACCAGCTTATGTGTCATCTCCCACATCTTAGCTTCTCTAGCTCCCCAGAGTAGAGGGTTGTGAGCACAAACAGGGAGGATGAAGAGCGGCCACAAACTGGCAGCTTGTAAATTGCTTCTTAAAAGATTGACGGTTTTAAGGCTTTGACCCTCCCGATCATTCCAGCATCCACTGCTCCCTACTGTCTCACATCTTCAGTTTCATTTATTGTTATCTATCCAGCCCCCGAAGGCATCTGAGTTGGCAACCTCTGATTTACAGGCTGTTAAAAACCAGTTGGGTGGCTATCTTGCTCCCACCAATTCTATTCCTGATAATTTCTTCCCTTGGAAGTAACGTGGGTAATAATTACCTGTGAGAAACTCAAAATACTCACTTCTCCAGGACAGCAGGGGTGAAGAGAATGTGCAGTGGCCACTGCACTTTGTAGGAAAGACCTAGGGCTGCCCAGCCGGATGCAGGGGCTTCCCGGGGAGAAGTCTCCCGAGAAGGCCCTTCTCTCACCTGAGTAGCATCTGTTAAGGAGAGAAGATGACTTTGCTCATCTAGAACCAGAGCTGCAACAAGGTGAGTAGCATTCATGAGATGAGTGCTCACTCAAGCCTGCAATGTTCAGAGCATGAAGGGGACACAAGGGACTGTAGAGGGCAAGGAAACTCCAAGGAGGGGTTCTCTTAGGAGGTCTCTTAAGACATTGTTTTCTCAGCCTTAAAGTCTGGTGGCTATAAATAAACAGACCATTCCAGCAGCATGACAACCAAAACCAAAACTATAGCCTGGCCATGTCACTTAGCTTCTCTGGACTTCCCTTTTCTTTCATGTAAAATTAGGGCACAATGTTACACAAAAGACTAGGTGGTTTCTAAGGTCCAAAATGATGCAGTTTCTGTGGAGGTGGATGGAAGCAGACAGGAGAACAGATGGGGACTGAGAGGAGCGGAAAGATGTAAGAAAGAGGGGCCAACCTTTATGCTCCTTCCCATGATACTCGATTGTCAAGTGCAGCAGAGGGAGAAGGTTGTCATCGTCCAGCAGCACCTTGTGTGCTGACTGTTGGAAGGCCACATTCACATCTGCAAGAAAGGACACGTGGGCTGGCGAGGCGGCATGGCTGTGCAACAAACCCAGACCTCTCTGTCCACTCCTCCTCCAGCCAGCCTAACGCTAACAGCAGGGCATGGTAAACATCGGTTGTTTTTGCTTGACTAGCGTGTGTTCCTCCTCCTCTTGCTGGTAACAGCACTTGATTTTCCTTGGAGAATCACCCCTCCCCAGAACAATCCATGCAGTTCCAGTGGGGTGGACAACACCTGAACCTCAGGGTAGGCAGGTGACCCAGGAACGATCTACCTTGGTAAACTATTTTGTTCAGGGATGTGAACAGGACCCAAGTCAGGCCAATCCAGAGACTCTATTAAGATTCGGAAAGAGTGTAGTTTTTTTCCCCCCTAGAGATAAACACAGACTTAGCAGGATATGGACTTGGTTGGAGGCCATCTCGCTACTCATGGAGCAGGCCTGTCTGAGAAAAAAGGCAGAGGTGAAGATGATGACACCAAGTCCTGAAGGCGTCATGTGAGCCACTGGAGCAAACTGCCTGGAGCCACCATACCCCTGACCTCTTCAGTTAGGACAATCAATAAATGCTTTTGTTTCCCCCTCTGCTTAAGTGAGATTGAATTGGGTTTTCTGACATCTGCAGCCGAAAAAGTCCTCTGTTAAGTACAGTGGACATCTCTTGTTTCATAGAGCTAGAAAAATGGTAACCCTGTCTTCCCCTCTGCCTCTCTTTTTGACTCTGATCTTTACCTAACTCTCCTTATGTAGCTCGAATGGGAACAGTGTTCATCCCCAATGGTCAAGGGTGACTTGACTGAAGTAGGCATAGCTTAATGTCTGACCTCTTTTGATACAGATATGATATATATATACACACACACACACACACACATATATATGCATATATATATAATATATAAAAATAAAATCCGGCTAGGCTAGTCAAAACCCCTCTCCTGGAATCCTTTAACTTGCTACCAGAGAGACCAGGTCTGACTCAACCAGTAGACACTGTGAGGTATGTTTCTTGGAGCTGCTGGTGGCCATGTTGCCAGATGGGACTGGAGGGCCATCAAAGAGCACACAAGTGCCACCAGCAAGATACGGTAAGAGAGAGAATCCCAGCAGTCCCTGGTTTCAGTTCTCTGGCCCAGCAATGTCCCTGTTGCACTGGAGCTACAGATACAAGAGCAAATAAATTCACCTTTCTACCTAGGTTAGTTTTCCATCCTTTATGATCTAAAGAGTTCTAATACAACAAGTGACAGTAAGTCCCAATATGTCCCTTGAGAAACATATGGCTATAAATTGATGAGGATAAAATACTAGTTTGAAGGCTTGTACCATCTCTTCCAGGAAGGGTCACTAGCTAAGGCTGCTCCCAGTGACTGCAGTGTGAGTCTACCTGAGAAGTCTTCCATCTTTGGAAACACTCTCTGTAACTCACCAGGCTGCTCTTACGTGGAACAGGCCTAAATGGTTCAGCATCAGCCAAGAAACACACTACAACTTCAATAAGCTGGGGCCCAGAGCAATTACCATGTTCAGTTACTGCAGTGGGTGGTGTTTTTAACATGTGTTGAGCTGTATCAATGAAGGCCTGAAACAATTCTCCACGTCCCAGAAGGTAAAAGTCTTTAATGATCTGCAGAAAGAATTTCAGTTTACGATTCAGAAATCTAGCAGGGCCAGGAGCTCACTATCCTGAAAGAATTATGCACATAATTTCCAGTTTCATCACTTTGTGCCCAACCTGCAAAAGGACATAGGCTTTTGGCATTTCAAAGGGGCATACTTAGTAATGGCAAGATGACTGGTGTGTCTTTAACATCATTTATTCAATGAAAACACACTTATGCCAGAAGGAAGTAAACACCCAAAGCTTTGTACTACAGTAAATCCATAGCAATAGGTAGTTTGCCTACTTGGATGAGGACATACAAAGCCACTCTAGATGTCTAGGGACAGGCAACCAGTGCTCTCAAGAGAGGCTGCAGAGACAAGTCATTGTCTTCCAGCATCATTTTAAGAGTTAAAAGAACAAACAGCTAAGCTATTACCTTCAGCTGACCCAGCAAATCGGACTCTTCCACCATGAGCTTCCAGAGATGCTGCGAAAAGAACCAGCAAAACAGGATCAAAGTTTCATTACAATGAAAATTCTTACAAAGAATGGTGTTGTACAAATCCAGCAACACGTTGAAAACAGAATATATACCATGACTGTATTGAGTTAATCCCAAGAATAAAGGTTTAACAGTCAATGTATGAGATGGAAGCATTCTGGAATTAGCTAGTGGTGATGGTTGCACAACATTGTGAACATACCAAAATCCACTGAATTGTACCTATTTTTAAATGGCTCAAATGTTTAATTTTGTTATATGAATTTCATCTCAATAAAAAATTTTAATATGAATGTAATTTACTACATTAAAGATTAAAAAAAAAACATGATCACCTCAATAGATGCAGAAAAAGCATTTGCTAAAAACTCAATCCATTTGTGATTTCAGAAAGAAAGCAAACAAGGAATAGAAGGCTGATAAAGCGTATATATACCAAACCCCACCACAGACAACCTATTTAACGGCGAAACATTAGAAGAAAGTCCTTTGAAGTCATCCAACATTGTACTGAAGATTTGCCAGTGCAGGAAAAAAAAACTGAAAAGAAGCAAAACTGTCATTATTGATAGTTAATATCACTATCTGCATAGGAAGTGCAAGAGAAGTGACATACAGATTATTAGAACTAGTAAGAGAATTCAGCGAGCCTGATGATTGATATACAAAAAATCAACTACATACCATTACCAGCATCAAAATCTCTGACTAGGATTTGCCCAGTGAAGCGATAACATCAAATCAGGGTGCCCAGAATCTCCATCCTGGTGCTCACCCCCCTACCTCTCCTACTGGAACTGAGACAGATTAGGAACTGGCCTTTGGCCCTTCTGCAGTACACATTACTAGATGGAACAGCTGACATCCCCAGGGGAATGTAAACACACAGGTCAAAATAATCAGACACGGGGAAAGCAAAAGGAACACAACAGACTAGGTAACACATACCAGCTGAAGCAGAAGTTTCAGAACTGAGCGGACAGCACAGTGAGCTGCCCGGATCGCCCCTGCGGCTGCTGGGGGTGCTGCCTGTTACTGGTGTTTTCGGCTAAAGGCAGCGCCCTTACCCATGGAACTAATTTCTGACAGACGCAGAGGTACAATGGCCTTGCTCTCTAACCTCAATGTGAGGGATCTCTGAAGAGCCATTCTAGCTTCAGAACTCTGCAGAGAGTGGTCAAGGCTTCTGCGGCAACCACATCGCAGTTTATTTCCTCTCTCTACTCAGTCCTGCTTCCCTCACTTCTTGCCAGATCTCAGTCACAGAATCTGTTTCCTGGGGAAATGTGACCTATGACATAGACCAAAAATTTTAAATATTCTTTATAAATATGCTTAAAGAGGTAAGGATAACAACAATACAAATACACAAAAATAAATCATAAAAAAGAACCAAGATGCTGGAGCAATTGAATAATCTACATGCAAAAAATTAAAACTTGATCTATACCTTGCACTACATACAAAAAGTAACTCAAAATGATCATAAACCTAAATGTAAAACTAAAAACAGTAAGTTTTCTAAAAGAAAACAGAAGAGAAAATCTTTGACCTTGGCTTAAGCAAAAGCTTCTTAGACACAATACCAAAAGCGTGATTCATAAAAAAACAGAAATTGATAAACTCGACTTAATCAAAATGAACATCTTCTGCTCTTTGAAAGACATTGTTAGGAGACTGGAAAGACAAGACATAGACTGGGAGAAAATAGTTGTCACGTATCTGATAAAGGACTTACCACCCAGAACACATAAACAACTCTCAAAACTCAACAGTAAGAAAATTAAACAAAACAAAAGCAATAAAAATGGACAAAAGATTTGGACATTTCAACAAAGAAGATATATGGATTACAAAATAAGCTTATGAAAAAAATCTCAACATCACTAGTCATTACGGGAATGCAAATTAAAACTACAATAAGGGACCAACCCAAATGTCTATCAGCAGATGACAGGAAAACACCCTGGTATGAACAATGAGATACTACTTTGCAATAAAAGACTAAACTATTGATATATGCAACATGGATTAATCTCAATTATGCTGAGTTGAAGAACACCTAGGAATAAATTTAAGCAATGAAAAGATCTATACAACAAAAACTAGACAATTTTGTTGAAAGAAACCAAAGATGACACAAATGGAAAGACATTCTCTGCTCCTGGATCAGAAGAACTGTATTGTTAAAAAGTCCATCCAAAGCTATCTACAGATTCAGTGCAATCCCTACAAAAATTCTTATCGAAATTCCAAAGGCGTTCTTCACAGAAATAGAAAAAACAATCCTAAAATTCATATGGAACCACAAAAGACCCCAAATAGCCAAAGCAATTCTGAGAAAGAAGAACAAAGCTGGTAGTATCATACTTTCAGTGATTTGATTAGAACTGATTTCAGCTATACGACAGAGCTAAAGTAATCTGTTAAACAGTATGGTACTGGCATAGACACAGAGACCAATAGAACAGAACACAAAACTCAGAATCAACTTCCCTCATATACGGGCAGTCATGGAACACCCAATAGAGAAAGGACAGTCTCTTCAACAAGTGATGCTCGGAAAACTGAATAAACGTGTGCAGAAAAGTGAAACTGGATTCCTATCTTACATCATACACAAAAATTAACTTGAAATAAATCAAGACTTGAACATAAGACCTGATACCATAAAAACTCCTAGAGGAAAATGTAGGGAAGAAACTCTTTGGACATTGGTCTTGGTAATGATTTTTTGGATGTGACAACAAAAGCACAAACAACAAAAACAAAAAACCCCACAAAACCCCCTATAGAACAGAAGAAAATATATGCAGATTATCTATTAGATAAGGGGCTATATCCAAAATATATAAAGAACTCATATATCTCAATAACAACAACCAAAAATCCAAACAATGCAATTGAAAAACAGGCAGAGGAACTAAACAGTTTTCCAAAGATATCCAAATGGTCAACACGGACAACAGAAGGTGCCCAACATCATCAACTATCTCAGAAATGCAGATCAAAACCACAATGAGATATTGCCTCACACCTGTTAGAATGACTGTCTTAAAGAGGACAAGACGTAAGTGTTGATAAGGATGTGGAGAAGAGCGAACCTGTGTGCACTGTTGGTGGGAATGTAAGTTGGATCAGCCACTATGGAAAAACGGCATGGAGGTTCCTCAAAAAATTAAAAATAGAACTAGAATATGATCCAGCAATTCCACTCCTGAATATATACCCAAAAGAAATGAAAGCAGGATATCAAACAGATATATGCACTCCCATGTTTACTGCAGCATTATTCACAATAGTCAAGATATGGAAACAACCTAAGTGCCTATCAATGGATGAATGCATAAAGAAGATATGATATGTATATACAATTCAGCCATGAGAAAAAGGAAATTCTGCCTTTTATGACAACATACATGGACCTTGAGGACATTATGCTAAGTGAGGCAAGTCAGACAGAGAAATAAATGCTGTATGGTATCACTTGTAGGCGGAATCTAAAAAAGCCAGACTCGTAACAGTGAACTAGTGGTTACAAAGGGCTAGGGGTGGGAGAACAGGGGAAATGTTTAAGGGTACAAACTTGCAACTAGTAGAAATAAGTCCTGGAGATCTAATGCACAGTATAGTGATTATTATAATCATCAAACTTGCTAAGAAACTAGATTTTTAAAAAAATTATTCTCACAAGTTACTTTTACATATATATATTTAAAAATTTTTAATTGAAGTACAGTTTACAATGTTATATCAATTTCTGGTGTACAGCATAGCAGAAACTAGATCTTAATTATTCTCATCACAAAAAAGAAATTATGTAACATGCTAGAGATGGATGCTAACTATTGCTACAATTGGCAATCATATTGCAATATGTAAATGTATCAAATCAACATGTACATCTTATATTTACATAATGTTATATGTCAAATATATTTTGATAAATGTTTTCATGTATTAATAATGAAAATAAAACAAAAACACATGTAATAAAGACTTTTAAAAGAATTATATGTCCAGGGTAGTTTCAAAGAGTGTGATTTCAGGGAATGGATGTGATAGCTCTTCTGTAATATATTTAGAGAAATGTTTATAAACAATTATAATAATGATGTTTATAGAAGTGCTACCTGCTTGCTAAAAAGATAAGGGTTTTTTTTTTTTAAGTGAAGGGATGTGTTTGCCATTCTGTAATGCATTTACAGAAATGTTTAAAATAACATGCATTAATGATGGTTATGAGTGTTCTGTGCAAGCTAGAAAAAGTAATAAACTATTGATACATGCAACATTAACTGATCTCAAAATAATTATGCTAGGTCAAAGAAGCCTGGTTCCCACCCCTCAAAAGAAAGAGTACATACTGTTTGATTCCATTTATTAAATCTAGAAAATGCAAATTAATCTATAGTGACAGAAAGCACTTGGAGACAAGGAAGTTAAGAAGGGTGGGATAAAAGCACATGAAAGGTTGGAAATGATGGAAGAAGATACATCAGATAAATATGACCTTAAAGAAAGCTGGATAGTGACCATAATAACTTAATAAAATAGAATTTAAGTAAAAAAATATATATACATATATAAATATATATCATATGTGATAGTGATAATGATGTATACATACAAAGAAGAACAATTAAGTATGTATATTTATTACAAATATGCACATGTTTACCATATAACCTGAAAATCAAGAATGAGAACATGTATAGGACTCTAGACTCACAGAATTTACATTATCTGGGCACATGCAAATCAATTAAAAACAAAAAAATGGACCCTATATTAGTCCATAAAGGAAGCCTCGATAAAACCCAAAGGACCAATATACAGACTATGTTCTCCAACTATATTGTAATAAAATTAAAAATTAATAAATTCTTTGTGTTAAAAGGAATCATAAGGAAATTAAGATTTATTTAGAACAGAATAATAAAAATACTACATGCCAAAAACTTGTTGGACACAGTCAAAGCAATGTGTAAAGTTTTATATATATTTCTTACAAAACAAAGGTTAAAACTGAAAAGTCAAGGTAGGAGGGGACAGCTCAGTGGTAGAGCGCGTGCTTGGCATGCACGAGGTCCTAGATTCAATCCCTAGTACCTCCATTACAAAAAAAAAAAAAAGTCAAGCTTTCAACCTATGAAAATGGAAAAAGGGTAACAGAAAACTCAAACAAGGAGAAAGAAAAATAATAAAGACAGATACCAATCAAATAGAGAAAAAAACAATTAAAAACAAAAGCTTTGTTCTTTGAAAAAATTAAGATTAAACAATAAAAAGATTGAAATAAATAAAATATAAATAGCTATAGGCAAGCAAGTATTTTTTTAAAAATTAAATCTAGATGAAATGGGTAAGTTCCTTGAAAAGCAGAAAATACCAAAAGTCGTACAAGAAGAAATAAATGTCTTAAATAGGCAATAATACGTTTTAAATATACTGAATCAGTAAAGATTTCTCCTCCTAAGAAACCTAGCTTAGATAATTTTTCAGGTAAGTTCAAACTTTTAGTAAAAATTCTTACCTTAAATTAATTGTTCTAAAAATTAGAAAAAGGGGTGATGGGTAGAGCTCAGTGGTGGAGTGCATGCTTAGCACGTGCAAGGCCCTGGTTCAATCCCCAGTACCTCAATTAAAAACACAAGAAAATTTTTAAAAATAGTCTTCTTAAAAAAGCAACAAAAAATAGAAAAAGAGTGGTAGACACCTAGCTCATTTTATGAGGCTTTTATAATCTTTATTCCACAACCACATTAAGAATAATACATGAAGAGAAAAGTGTAGTCTATCTCACTAGTAAATGTAGATGCAAAAATTCCAAATACCATAGTGGCTAACCAAATCCAACAGTATATTAAAAAAATAAATAAAACATCACATTCAAGTGCAGTTTATCTCAGGAAGATTCAAAATCCAAAAATCTAACAAGGAATATACCATATGAGTGAACTAAAGGAGAAAAAGAACTCAGAACAAGAAATTGCACCTTAATTGATAGAGAATAAGTAGTGATAAATTTCAACATCCATTTATGATAAAAACTCGGCAAATGAGGAAGAGAAAGTAGTATTTTTAAATTTGATAAACTCAGGTGCCAAAGCCTATCTATAGCAAACACTAAAGTAACAGAGAAACTTTAGATGCATTATCTTTAAAAGCCAAATCAAAGATGCCCATTATCACCTACACTGTTCAACGCAGTTTACATATAAACTATTGCCCCAGCTGTTGAATGCCATTCTAGGGATGCTGGCCAAGAATTTAAGGAAAAAAAAGCAAACAGTGAAAAACTGGAAGGAAAGTTGTAAAACTTTAATTGCAAATGACACCCCATCATTACTGAGAAAACTCAATAGAATGAACAAAGTATTAGAACTAAAAGACTTCAGTAAGTTGCCAGGTAAAAGATAAACCTACAAAAATTAATACCACCATTTCTCTATATAAGTAGTAACCAACTAAAGATAAAATTAACAAAAAACTACTACGTATCTCGGAATTCATTTTTAAAATCTTTTTGTTGAAGGACTAACATACACAAAGGATCGTGCACCAAGCCTAAGTTTACAGCTCGAAGAATTTCCACAGATTGAACACACCTGTGTAACCAGCGCCCTGAAAGGCCTCCTCACGTCCCTTCCACCGACTGTCCTGACATCTCACACCAAACTAGCTCTGCCTGTTTTTGAACTTTATATTGATTCACACAGTATACATGCCCTTTTAAAAAAAAAAAATAGGAAAGCGATCCAAAAGGGTGGGTGAGTATGGTATGTATTTGCAAGACACTCCCCGCTTTTCCTTCTGGGTATATGGTATTTCTTTAATTACTTTAAGCTTTAATTATTGTTACAACTATACCTTTCCAAAAGTCTATTAGCTTCAAAGAGTCTGAGCGTCAGTTCTTTGTCCACCATTTTTACACTGGAAATATAATTTTGAGCAATACATGTATTTTAAAATTTCACAAGAGAATGATTTGGAAATATTATGTTATTCATTCAATAAAATTTTACTCTCCTCCATTAATTATATTTCCCAAAGAGTAATCAGAAAAATGATAAAATAACGGAAATAGAGTCAATAAAGTTAGATGAAAGAAGTGAAGGCATCAGCCCCTCAGACAACAGCGGTCTGGGCTCTAGGTGGAGAGTCAGTCTTGAAATTTTGAATGGACAGAAATATATATTTTGCATAGTTTAGGTATTTACTTGCCCGGAAGGAATCAAATCAAGTGATATTCAAGGTCACCTTAAGCTCTAATATTCTATGTCTACATCACAGCTCTGTCTCCACTGCCTCGGAATTTTTGAGACAGTAAACGGAAAAGGAAATCGCATTCAGCCATTCTCAGCCATTCTAGAGACTGCCCCTAGTGTACCTGCTACGCTTCAGAATCACCTGCAGAGTGTGTTTGGTGGGTGGCTGGTTGGATGGTATAAACACAAGAACCTGCTGGTACCGACTTCCTCCTGACCAGAGTCAGAAGCTCTGGAGGTAAGGACTCGGGACAAGTGCGTGTTTTAAGACTTCCCAACGTCACTTTATGCACAGTATGAGTTGAAAACCACCAACACAGTTAACAACGCAACACAACTAACGCAAGATTTCATTTCACATCATCACACACCTGTGAATCAAGTTTTATGATAAGCCACAGAACATATGCCCATTTAAAAAATTATTAGTCACAACTTACTTACTAAGCACCGCCAGACAAGTTAGCTTTCTGAGTATTTTTTTCATTTATAAGAATGGAAAAATATTACTTGTTCTGCTTTCCCCATAAGATTATCATATCCATAAATCAAAGAATATGTAATAAATCCATTCTAAAATATATGTAAAGCACTAAATTTAGTCAGAATCAGTTGATTTCCTGGAGTCACTGCCAACTATAGGGACAGACTCAAAATGTTGACTGTCTGAAATGAAACCTTTATTCAACTAACTAGTTAACAAATAGCTAACTAGCAAACTCCTGTCACGTGTGAAAACGCTAAGGCAGTTCTGCCTCTTAAAAAACAGAGAATGCTTTATTTTCTACTTCTTGCCCTTCAACCCTCTGAGACAGTCCCCTCCAAGCTAAGTTCTAATCACATCAAGAAGAAACAAAAGTCAAGTACTCAATTTCTGGGGAACTAGTGTATATTCTCTTAAGAAAATATCCTAAGAAAGACAAACCTCAGCCACAGTGCTACGTATACGGTCCACCACCTGCTCGAAGTCCACCAGGCTGAAGAGTGGTTGTTGCTTGAGACGATGCAGCTCTGCAGCAAAAGTGTCCTCCTGGTTCTTCAAGATGGATCCTGCAGAATGGGAAGGCACTGTCAAAGCAAGACAGGGACCTGCACAGGCGAGGTGTGCCCTTCCTGCTGGAGCGGCTCCTCCACCTGCTTCTCGGGCAAGCATGCCGCGGCTGTGCTGAAATCTCAGAACAGAAAGGTCACTGGCCACTCGCTCCACCCAGGCAAACTCTGAGGCCACACATTATCAAGTAAGGAGGGCCTCTGAGGATGGGGTACAGCAGGCAAGGAGATTCCTACCTTTCCTAGTCAGGTTCACATTTTGATTCTCGAACATCTGGACAGATTCTCCAACAAACAGGATTTTTTCAGCAACCCGCACTGGAATGTAGGATGGCAGAATCTCCACCCGCAGGGAAAACTGCTTCAGAGATGGTGCCAGCATGTTCTCCTCCTCTATCAGGCGCTGCTCAAGGAAATCATCCATATCAGACACGATGTATGCAGTGAGAAAGGAGAAACAAGAAGACATCCAGCTCTCCCAACACATGATTTACATTTTCTAGAAGTAGGGACTTTAAATCTGAAGTTGCGTAATTGTTAAGTTACCAGTCTCTAAGATGTATTCCATTTCCAGGCAGCATGACAGCACGGTGGAAACAGCAGTGGTTTGATTAACATTAGGATTTAAGTCCTCACTCTGCCCTGACTACTGTGTAAAAACTTGTGCAGTAGATCTGGAATCCAGTCTCCTTCCTTGTGCCATGGAGTAAGTCTTTGTTTTCTTCCAGGTCTACCTGTCTATGACTTTATTATCTTGTGCATGTCTGCTCTGCTCAGCTCTTTATGCTAACCTAAGTCCCTTAGCCAAGTGGTTCTCAAAGCATGGCTCCTGGACAGCACCACTGACCTCACTTAGGAGCTTGTTAGAAATGCACATTTTCAAGCCCCTCCCCAGATCTACAGAAAATCTGGGAGGTGAGGCCTAGCAGCCCGTGTTTTAACAAGCTTTCCCGGTGATCCCGAGGCACACGACAGTTTGAGAACCACGACCTAGCCCATGAAGCCCAGGATACTCACCACCCAGTCACTCAGGCCCCTCCAATTCCCTGGCTTGCTTTTGATCTGACCCTTATCCAGCCCCAACCCCAACCCCTGGGCTCCATAGTCCTGACTGATTTCTTGGCCCTTTTAGTTTTGGTCTCCGGTGCTGGTGTTCCTCAGGGCACTACCCCAGACCCTCTTTTCCTCTCGCTCTCCACACTCTTCCTAAACACTCACATCTTCTGTGGCTGAACTGATCATCATAATAGACATTTTTAATCCTTTTGCATCACAGAACTCTGTGCAATTATAAATGCTATGGGCCTTTCAGACAAATACATAGACATACATTTCACAGAATCTCTGAAGCCACCCATGGACCCCAGATTAAACCCTTCTATACACTGATGACTCCTAAAAGTCTCTGTCTTTAAGCTAGATTACTCTTATGAGCTCCAGGCTCACCCCACTGGGTATTTCCTACAAGTACCTCAAACTCAACATGTCCAAAGTTAGATCCATCTTCCTTCCCCCAACACCAGCAACCCACATTCCTTATCATCACACCTTCTACTGAAGGCAGAAACTTGGTATCATCCTTACTCTTCCCTCTGGACCCATATCCAGTCAATCCCCATGACCTACCTATCCCACCTCCTAACTATCTCCCATGCTTCTTTATTCTTCGCCATGTTTACTGTTCCCACCCTTAGTTTTGGCCACCATTATTTTTCAGCTAATGTCCCCAACAATCTCCTAACTGACCTACCTGCTGCTAGTCTTACTTTAAAAAAAAAAAAAAAATTTCCCAGTTTCTAGAGTGACCTGTCATAAAGTCTGATCTAACGTATAGAGGTGTGTTAACCTCTTATCTAAAACTCTTTATGGCTCCCAGCTCTTTTAAGGTTCAAGTCCAAACTTCTACCGACTGTTTACAAGGCCTTTCACAATCTTACCTCTAACTCAACAGCTTCATTGACGGCCATGTCCCACATCCCCTCCACTGTCCCTTACACTTCGTATTTCAGCCTTTATTTACTTGACCATTTCAACTGAATTACTAATGGTTCCCCAAATGAGCCGCGTCTGGCATAGCCTCTGCACTTTACACAGTTCTTCCCTCTGCCTGGAACATGTCTTGACCTCTCCACCCAGACTCTGCAATTTAGTCATACGTTCCACTGGAAAGCCTCCTCTAGTTACTCGAAGAACTTGTTCCAAGAATACTCACACTTACTCTTTCCGGAGCACTGAGTACGCTGAACTATTACTATTTACTTTTCCGTATCTTCCACTAACCATAGGCTCTTTTAAGGGCAGGGACTACTACATTTTACTTGTCTGTGCAGCTGTGGCACCTGGAACAGTGCCTGGCACGCAACAGGCATTCAATAAAATGTTGTAACAGGAAAAATGCATGGATGAATAACAATACAGGACTTTGGGGAGTCTAATCAAAACTCCAGACTGCATGTGAAATCTCTGGGTAGCTACAACTCTACCTTAAGAGACAAGAGTGACTATGAATCTCACAAATGTATTTTCTATTCTGTAATCTCACACTGTGAGGTAGTAAGTGTTAAGCTAAGATAAGCCAAGTGTTTACATCTAACGACTTTATGGAAGGTGCCCACGCTATGCAGAGCTGGGGCGAGGGGGTGGATGGCCAGAGGTCATTTCACTGTGAATTAGCCCCCCACCCTCCAGCATGAGGGTGCCAGGCTTCTTGCTGTGCTCTCACCAAGTCCTGCAGTTCTCTCAGTTGTTTTCCGGTCAGTCCCCCAATGCCCAGATCCTCCTCATCCTCTTCTGGCTGGGCACTGACATTACCAGAAGACGGACCCTGTTTGATAAAGAACTCTTCGTGCTGGTCCAAGAGGAGTCCATGTAGCATCCAGGCTGAGAGCTGCTTATACATGACCCCGTGACACACGGCCAGGATTCTGAGCGGAGGAAAGCAAGAGCCTTAGGAGTCCACTTAGAGAACACTAAGCCCCACGCGGGCACAGAGGGCAGGCTGTGAACTGCCACAGGATGAACAGAGGCCTGGGAGTTTCGTCAGTCGGAAGGGAAATGACCAATTAAGCTAAAAATAATTGTGTGATTTTAACTTAAATGTCTGTGAACTAAGTGATTAAATTTCCAAACTTGTAGCCTACAAACCGAAGTCGGAAATGTTTAGACTTCACGTCTTCTTTCCTCGTTTTGAGTGAAGTGAGTTTCAAAAGGGATGATCCCTGTTAAAATTAAATGGGTTTATTTAGGAGTCTCTTTTCAGCTAACACAGTATTAAATTAGTTTTATTTTTGTTGGAATCACATAATGAGAGTAGATTCAGTATGTGAGAGGCAGGTATTACCTGGAAAAGTATTACCCGACAAAATGCAGAGACTAAAACAAAACGCAGAAATGTCTTTGGAGGTTGGGATATTCACATGGTCTCAAGGGATCACCCCTCAGATACCATCTTAATGACAAAGGGGAAAATGTCCCTCTAAAACAGAGATCTGGTGGAAAACATCTAAATCAAGTGATCAAACTTTACACCAGTAATGGGACAAACATACTTTTTGTGCTTTCTGATATGATCCAACAGGAAAGAATATGATATACGCAGCATCCTTGCCAAAAACGTTCAACCTGAGCCTAATCATGATGAAATAATCAGAAAAATCCAGATTGCGGAACATTCTACAAGACAACTGGTCAGGACTCTTAAAATGTCAATGTTATCAAAGATTAAAAAAAATAAAAAATGCAAGGAAGTGGACTTTCCAAATTAAAGACTGAAAAGACCTGGCAACCAAATACAAATATGAAGACTGATAGGATTTTATTTTTTCTACTGAGGTAGTCAATTTACAATGTTGTGTTAATTTCTGGTGTAGCACTGATTGGACCTTGACTGTAAAAAAGAAAAGCTAGGACTTTTGAGGGACAACTGGGGAAATTCAGATATATTTTGGATATTATTGAATTAATGTTAACGTTCTTGGGTGTAATATGGGGTTGAGGTTACATAAGAGAATGCCCTTTTCTAAAAACAGATATAAGCTCAAAGTATTTAGGGGTTAAGTTTTATGATATTTGTGACTACTTTCAAATAATTCAGCAAAAAAATAGTGTTGTGCATGCACCAGTGTGTTTACTTATACATTTCACAGTTCACAGAGAGGAAGAAAGAAAAGAAAAATCAAATGTGGCAAAACAACTTGTGAAAACCAAAGGATATACAGGTGTTCACTGTACTGTTCTTTAAACTTTTTGTAGATTTGAAAAAATTTTCAAAACAAATTAGGGAGAAAAAGAAACTGCTATTTGTAGTATGCTAAATGAATGGAATCTCTCTTTAAAAAACACAATCAAATGGGAAGCCATTTACATTTTGCACATCTGAGTATGTGGTCTGTAAAATTTGGTCCCTGCAAATGTACAACATGTATATAACATGTTATTATATGAGATTTTATATCCTATGCATAAAACTACATATATCCACACAGAGAGAAACTGTAGAGGATATACACCAAAAGTTAAATTAGGTTATCTCAAGGGACTGAGATTAGCGGTGATTTTTTCCTTCTCTTTGCATGTCTATATTTTCTACGGTCAAAATGCAGTTTTATCAGAAAACAAAACCCACACAACAATAGAGAATTAAGTCCCTAAAACATGTTTTGGAAAGTTTCCTGCTCTTCTGAGAATTTATTTGTGCGGCAGTTAAAGTAGAGATTGTTTAAGAGTTGTAAGATCATCAATTCCAATTTTGCAATTAATGCCATACCCTCTTTTTAAAAAATAGGGAGGATGAGGGAAATAGGAAGGTCGAACAAGCAGTCTTTGATCATACTCCACATGTGTTTAATGCAGTTGTAATCATAAGACATATAGTTTTGTATCCTTTTTCCAGTATTGTAAAAATATTCTTATTTGTTGTTATAATATTTATAATTTTAATTGCTTATAGTCTATCAAGTGAATAATATATATTTAGCTTTCTTCTGCAGCTGGTAATTTTTTGAATTTCTTGATATAGTAGACAACATTGCAATAAATGATGACTGTGCATATGGTTATTTTCTTTTGACTAATTTTGTTAGGATAAAATTCTTAAGAATGGCATTAGGAGATTATAAAGCCGCTCAAAATACACATATTTAGACACAGCCAAGCATAATCCGGCACATGTAATGGAAATTCTCCAAGGAAAATGAGATCCAAAATGAAAAAGGATTTCCTCAAGGCCATCTAGGCACCTAGATCCTAGCTTTGACACACTTTACAACCCTCTTTCTGCACTTTCTGAGCCATTGGAAGGATTGCATAGGCTCCTCTGCTCATAGGGCTTTTCTCTCCTGGTCATAACTTTTCCCGGAGGGAAACCCGAGATGACCGGAACATAAAACAAGTGCAAAGTCAAGTCACTTTGACCAACCACCCACCCCCCTACCCCAATGAAGCCACGACTTACTTTTCTAGTGCACTGCGAACAGGAGGCAACCCTCCACAGCTGTGTTTGTATACTGTTTCCAGGATCTGACAGCCATGAATCTGGGGAAAATACAGCCTTGTCAAACTGGATTCTGTTCTAATAGTTCATGCAGCACAATCTCACATTCCACATTCAATGCAGAGGGCACAATCCACAGAGAATGGAAGTAAGCTTTCTCATAAGAGCTCTGCATAGTTCCGATTCTGATTCCAATTTCAACGTGTATGGGGTTTTCCCACACCCCCAAGCAATTCTCTGACACCAGCTGGGGTGTCCTACCATCCAACTTAATTCTAACACTACACAGAGATAGCGCCAGATTCCACAGGTAAAGGGCTCGGTCCCACAAGCCTGCCCTCCACTTCTGACGCCAATAACAAGCCCAGGTTGTTACCTGTGCTCCTCACAGGCTGGCTATCAGAGGTTCCTACAACCCCCTCCTTCACCAGTTTGCTAGAGCAGCTCACAGAACTCAGGAAATCCTTTTATTCACTAGATTACCAATTTATCACAAAGGACACAAAAGGATACAAATCAATAGATGAAAGCTTACGTAGGGCGAGGTCCTGAAAAAAGGAGCTTCTGTCCCCGAGGGGCTTGGGCCCAGCACAGTGGGATGTAGGGGTGGCCTGGTTCACCAACCTGGAAGCTCTCTGAATCCTCCTTTTGAGTCTTTATGGAGCCTTTGTTACAGGCACAGCTGATTAAATCACCTAAATCACTGACCATCGGTGATCGAACTCAGCTTCCAGACCCCAGCCCCAATCCCTTCCCCAGAGATCAGGAGGAGAGGTGGGACTGAAAGTTCCAACCCTCCAATCACACAGTTGCTTCCCCTGGCAACCTGCCCCCATCCTCCAAAAGTCACTGCATTAACATAAACTCAGGTGTGCTCGATGGGGGTTTGTTATGAATTCGTCCACTTTTTTTGCTCTAATTACTTAGGAGATTACAAGTTTTAGGAACTCTGTGACAGAAATGGGATGAAGACCAAATATATATATTTCTTACTATAAATCACAATATCACAATAGTTGTTCTCAGGGTTCGGACCCTCCACCATCTCCCCGCCCCACCCCACCCCACCGCCCAGCAGCATCAGCATCACCTGGAAGCCAGTAACAAATGCAAATCCAGAACTAGTGAATCAGAATCTCTGGGGTAAGACCCAGTGATCTGGTTTAAACAGTCTGCTCCAGGTGATTCTAATGCACAGTGAGGTTTGGGAACTGCTGCACTAGGGAAACCAGAATTTTCTAGAGTTGAAATTCTAAGCAAAGAGGTAGAGAGCTCTTTCTTCAGATTAAGGCCTAATTCAGACCACTTATGAGGTATACACTTTTCTAAAAATCTGCTTCCTTTTTCTATGTCCTTTTGGCTCTCCTTTAAAAAAAAACAAAACTTCTTTTTGAGGTATAAGTCACATACCATAAAATTCACCACCACAATTCAGTTTTAAAACATTTCCATCACCCTCAAAGAATCCCTTGTGCCTGTCTGCATCATCCCTGTTCTCACCCACAGCCTATGTTCTTGACAACCTCATTTTTTTGAGCCTTAGCACACAGCTTCCTACCACCACCCTGGCAAGAGGGAAGGTTTGCCCATCTGCAATCCTTCTACTCATTTTCCATTCTCCTTCCTGTGGCCAATAAAGCTCAGAGTCAACTGAGAGATGCAGCTACGCGTGGACCCCTATACTAACTCCACTAATCTAGAAGGTCCCCTCCAATCTTGGGACATGGTTAGTAGAGCGGTTAAGAGCACAGTCTTTGGAGTCAGACATACCTGGGTTTATATCCCAGCCTACCATTTACTACCATCTGTGTGACTCTAAGCTCATTCCTTAACCTGTTTGACTCCTTAGAGGACTAACTGTGATAATGTATGTGAAGCACGTAGCAGTATTTAGCAGGTATACAGCAAGTGCACAGTAAAAGCTCGATGTTATCTGATGAGGGCAATCAGCTCTGCAGAGCCAAAGAGCACCTCCCCTACTGGCATTTCTGGAACAGGATGAACGCAGCAGAGTATAAGTTTCTAGACTTATACAACAACAGCAACAACAACAAAATCAAGTAGCAACCTGGCAAATTAACTGGTTAACTAGTTATATTCAAGTGAACACTCCTAATAGGCTAAGGCAAAAATTTAACAGCTTAATAACATGAATAAACTAAACAATTTCCCCATTTGTCCTTTTGATTCAATTATGAATCAGCAGATTCGTCCAATGTAAAATCTCAAAGCACCACAGTTACTCATTCTGTCCAGAAAAGACATGCTCTGGACATTGGAGGCCCTAACTTTTCAATGCATATGATAAAAACTTGTGATAAGAATAGGCATATTTAGGGGGAGGGTATAGCTCAGTGGTAGAGTGAGTGCTTAACATGCATGAGGTCCTGGGTTTAATCCCTAGCACCCGTATTTTAAAAAAAAAAGGCACATTTAACTAACAAACATCTAGGTTTCACCCAACTCTTAGAAAACTACCAAAACCCTAAGTATAAACCTATTACCGCCTTTCTTTCTAAGGATTAACTTTCTGCATCTCTGCAAGATCCATGTTCAACAGTTCTAAATCCTTAGTGCCAAAAGCTCTCACCATCCATACATTACTCTCTCACCCAGCAGCTTCTTGAGGTACATCTATCATCATTTCCCACATCTTCCGGACCAGGAGGTGCTTAAGGGCAGGGTCATAACTTATTTTTGCATTCCTGATACTTAGCGTGATACCCAAGCAGATGTTGCTGAATGAATAAATACATAAATAAAAACTTAGGGGGTGGAAAGGGATAAATTGGGAATTCGAAATTTGCACCTCTTGGGGAGTGATGGAAATGTTAGCTATCTTGAGTGTGGTGGTGGTTTCATTGGTGTATACATCTATCAAAATTCATCAAATTGTTCATCTGAAATATGTGTACTTTACTGTATGGGAATCATACCACAATAAAGGTGTTAAACATAAGTAAACACATATATATGTATGTACTACTGAAAACTAGGGTCTTCAGAAAAGGATGTAAAGGAAAATTAATTACAAGTATTTCCTTTGTGTTTACCAGAGTGAAAGGAAAAAGAAAAATTCTCACCTTTTGACTTTTAATTTGTTCTACTACAACCATTACAGAGGGGAAAAGGAGCTGGAACTGCAAAGCAGAGAATATTAGGTTGGTACAAAATTGGTTCAAATACAAGGGGAAAAAGTCACTCAGGAAATGCCTTCATTTCTAAATAGCCGCACTTAACATAAACATGGCAATATCACAGAACAGCCAAGACCCAGTATCCTAAGGCAATTTGATAAGGGGGCTGGCTGCAGACAGAAAGGGCAGACAGAAGCAGTTTCTATGCCTGAGGCCAATCTAGAGCCCTAACAGCAGACAGTAGACTTTCACTAAATTTGGAGGTTTTCAAAGTTCTGATCTAGGAAAGCATACAAAATATAAAATGCTAGGCTCTGAATCCAGAAGGAAAAAAGTTCTCAAAAACAATATCATAAATTTGATTATTCTAATGGTATCAACAGATTCCAAAGCACTTTGTTACCCGGGCAGCATACCTGATCTAAGGAGTAATTGACATGTGAGATGGAGAGATGGGGGTCAGCCAGGAACTGCAACAAAAACACTGTGATTAGGGCTCCACGCAAATTATCTTTAATCTATTTGATCTATGAAAACTGGAAGGGAATCTGAGAGTAGGCTTAGGGTTCGTTTTAGGCTATTGAGAATTCATAATTTACAGTAGATTATTAATTTTAATTTTCAAGTGATGACAAAACCAAAGCTAGGGCTCATCTATAGTCACTCAGGACCCTTTGCCATGATCTGCACGCCACTTTGATCATGGCTTGGGCGGTCACAGAGAGCGCACTGTACCCTCCAGCCACGCAGAATATAGCTCATTCTTTACCTGACAGTATCAAAGCGCATTTCAAATTCAAGAACAGGCCCTGATCTGCTGTCCTAGAGGTGTTGTTTCCCACATCCCCTCTCACCTCTTGTTCCAAATCGAGCAATGCTTGGCGATAAGGCTGCAAAACTGAATCTAGTCCCGTGCAGAAGGCCCTTAGGTAGATTCCATGTAACCCACCTTGGCCCTGTTGAGATGGATGGTGATCCTGAAATCAAACAAAGAGAAGTCAGCTTCTCAGCTCAGACCCTGAAACCCAAGGAAGACGTTATCCTTTATTAGTGGCACTGTTTTTTCTTAAATAATTCCCTATCAAACCAGTGCTTCCCCAAGAGGAAAACCTGACTGAAGAGACAGATTTTGAGTCCTGACCTTTTAAAATGTGATAATATTTTAATTTTCCAAGTGGCTCAGATGTTCCAAACAATCAGACATTACTCCATACTGTCAGTGGAGATTTTTCTATGACTCAATTCTAATCTTGTAACTTCCAACTTAAGTCACTTTGGTGGCTTCCCCTTGCCCCAGAATAATATCTAAACTCTCTTACAAGGCATACGATGACTTCTGCATTCTGTCCCTTTCCCTTTTTCCAAAATTATCTTTCACTGCTTCCAATTTCACATACTCATTTCCAAACTACTCAGAGTTCACTGAATATGCCTTGCTCCATTTCTCACCCCCGTGAATCTGCGTGTGTTCTGCTTATAACTGCACTCATCTTTGTGACACATACCTGCTCTTCCTGCAGGACCCAACTCAAGCATCTCTTTTCTGCAAAGCCCTGCCTAACTCCCCCTAGGGAATTAAAATCTCCCAACTTTGTTGCTTGCATAGCATCTCTATTTTGTGTTGGAATTGCACTTTTGTTTATCTGTCCTCTCACTAGACCAGAAGCTTCAGGAAGCGAGGGCCCACACTTTATTCATCTTTGCATTTCAGTTCCTAGCACAGTTCTTTAAAGAGAGGGTAAATATTTACCGAATAAACAAAATGGACTCAATCCTCCTTCCAACAATGCTTCTCCTGCCTGGCATGGCAATTCATCAGAAACATGAATCTGATAGCTAACACGGGGAGTTACAAGACACTCACCAAGAGGCTATTTACCAATATGGCTTGTCTTTCAAGAACACTGCAATTTTTGTAAGTGCATCCTTCTTCTACGTGGGGGAGTTGCAGTTAACAGTTGACTAGAGGCCATGATGACTAGCCTTTCTGGCCATGTACTGATTTGAGTGATCAGTGGTGGTGGTAGATACCATAGTAGAATTCAGCAACAAATGTGGTAGGAAGCTTGGGCTCAGGGGTTATAAGGCACATTGTAGCCAGAGGATGCTGCAAAGGGTACAAGTAGTCCCTGGAGACACATGTTCACAGCTATAAAAAGAACAGCATGGGCACAGGGTGAAACAGACCAGACTGGCTTACAATCAGGCAATTTTGTTTTCACTTTGTGTCATTCCAGACAACTGATGTCTTCATTTATCACAAAATGAAAGAGAAAATGAGTATGCTTTTTACTTTTCTAAAAAAAGAGATACTATAGATATCTTTAGAATTTGAGAAAGTAGGAATTCACATATTATATAAGATCCACATGGTCACACGAATATAGAACAGGTTTTTTCCCAAGTGTTATATAAAAAAAAAAACACCTTAAAATTAGAGGCCTTTTCATCAAAATTAATATGTGTATATACAGGCTCCAACTTTGAAAATTATGTCATTAATATGATTTCATAGCAAGCTTTGAAAATTGTGTCATTAATATGATTGCATAGCCAACTGGCATTGATTAAATTTAAATTCATGTTTAGCCTGAGTATTTTCTCTGCAACAAAATCAGCTGGAGAGAGCCAGAGTCCCTGTCCAAGAGGAAAATATAAGGCATTATTCTTCAGCTCCTTTGCCCCACAGATTACCATCAAGGGTCTGACAACAAACTCGTGCAACAGGTGGTACTGACTGCATTGTTTCAGAAAAGCATCCTTCCTTTCTTTTCTAGAAGTCTCTACCTTTCTCTTCAACCAGAATCATTCTTTCCACTCGAAAACAGTCGTCACTGAATCAGAGTCACACAATTCAACAATCTTTTTACTTACCACTGACAGAATTGCAGACTGTTAAAAGCAAACTTCAAAATTTCTCTTAAAAAAATTTGAACCTTTACTGCATACCGGGCACTTCACATGAATTACCTTGTTTAATACCTCACACAGGTACTATCTATTATTCCCATTTCATATGTAACGAAACTGAGCCTCAGTTATTGAATGAGCATCAGGTTACTGCAGAGCAGTCTATGGCCAGTAAATGATGGAAGGGACACAAATCCTTGACCTCTACAATATAAAGCACTGACTTCCAATTAATTCATATTAATGGATAATATTTATGAAGTGCTTATCACATGTCAAGCACCTTCTCTGGCTTTACTCTTATTTACAAATAAGAAAAATGAAGCCTGAAGATTTTAGTTACCTGCCTCAATGTGACAAGGTAGTCAGAAGCAGAGTGGCAAAAGAATTTGAAATAATGCTTTGTGTTTTCACCTCTGGAATTGGAACTCTGGTCCAGCTCGAACTGATTTAATTCAGTTCTCCTAAAACTCAGGCAAAGCCAATCTGCCTAAATTGGTCCCTGTGTATGTTTTCCCCTTGTTTGAGGTCCAGTCACCTGGTGTTCACTTGAGTAATTCCAGTGATGAGAAATTCACAAGTCCTTGGCACTTAGGTCACATGAATTACCAATGGATTCAGTGAAAGCTTGATGTAGCTCCTGCCCTTGGGAGGTGTACGTTCCCTGAGAACAGGAACCTACCTGCTGCTGCACATGGCCCGTGTATTGTTCAATGAACTCGGTGAAGCGAATGTAGTCTGTGCCCAGCCGGCAGAGTCGATTCAGGACGCTGGTTTCACTGGGATGGAGAAATGGGAAGTCCTGTGACACCTGCAGGAGAGGAAAAACGCTAAAAACACTGATGCCTGCTATTCACTGCTTGCTAGCACTATCGTTTCCCTCCGCAAGATGCCCATCTAAGATTGGTAGGTTCTAGAAAACGAAAGTATTTCCAAACCAGTGCAAAGACATTGTTCCCCATCCCCAACCTAATTAGTTATTTATTGAAATAGGCAGTGGTGGACAGTAAAGAATTCAAACAATACACGGTGTTCATTAAAAATAAGTCGGTCTCTGCAGAGGCAGCTACTATTACCTATGTCTTTTTTTTAATTAAAGTACAGTTGACTTATATTGTCAGTTTAAAGTGTAACATAATGATTCAGTATTTTTATAGATTACACACCATACAAAGTTATTATAAAACATTGGTTATAGTCCTGTAGTGTACATTACATGCCTGTGACTTAACTTATTTTTTCACTGGTTAGTTTGTACCTCTTAATCCCCTTCACCTATTTCATCCCTTCCCCTACCCTTCTCCCTTCTGGGGACCACCATTTGTTGTATCTATGAATCTGTTTCTGTCTTGATATGTTTGTTTCGTTTTCTAGATTTCACATATAATTGAAATCATATAGTATTTGTCTTTCTCTGTCTGACTTATTTCACTAAGCATAACATCCTCCAGGTCCATCCATGTTTTCATAAATGGCAAGACTTCATTCTTTGATATAGGTTAAGTATATTACCTATTTCTAGTGGAACCCTCCAGGGATAGTCTATAAGGATATATGGATTTTTTTTTAACCTGGTTACAATAAAGTCTCTTTAGCAATACTGCTCAAACTTGGGTCTGCAGACTCCAGGGAGTTCTCAGACATATTCTTAGGATTTACAAATTCTCTATGAAACTTTAAATTTTGTTTTCATTTCAATAAAAATGTAAAATTAATATAGCATACTATAATCTGTAAAAGCACCTTATAACTGGACATATAAAGTTAGCATCCATATTTCCATTTGTATTTTTAATTTAAATCATGGCCAAATGATAGCCTAGTATGGTGTATAAAAATTTCACAGCAGTTCAAGTAGAAAAACAGTAGTGGGCAAATGTATTCATTCCATCAACTTAAAAAAATCACTGCAAAATATACATCAAAATTAGCATTTTAGCCATTATTAGTGTACATGTTAGTGACATTGAGTGCATTCATATCGTTGTGCAACCATCACCACCATCCATCTCCAGAACTTTTTCATCTTCCCAAACTAAAACTCTGTACCCATTATACAGTGACTCTCCATTGACCCTTCCCCTAGCCCTTGGCAACCATCCTTCTACCTTCTGTCTCTGTGGATTTGACTACTCTAAATACCTCATGTAAGTGGAAGCATACAATATTTATCCTTTTGCAACTGGCTTATTTCACCTGGCATAGTGTCTTCAAGATTCATCTATGTTTTAGCATCATGTTAGAATTTCTTTCCTTTGAAAGATGAATAATATTCCACTGTATGAATATGTCACATTTTGTTTATTTAACTAATTTGTCCGTGAACACATGAGTTGCTTCTACCTTTCGGTTATTGTGAATAATGCTGCTGTGAACATGGGTGTGCAAATATCTATTTGAGTTCCTGCTTTCACTTCTTTTGGGATATACCCAGGACTGAAATTGCTGGATCATCTTACCAGATGATTAAATTAAAATTCTATGTTTAATTTTTGGGAGCATCACCGCACCATTTTACATTCCCACTGGCTATGCACAAGGGTTCTAATTTCTCCATAACCTCACCAACACTTGTTGTTTTCTTTTTTGGTAATAACCATCCTAAAGGGTATGAAATGATATCACATTGTGCTTTCGATTTGCATTTCCCTAATGATTAGTAACATTGATCATCTTTTCATTTGTTTATTGGCCACTATGTATCTTCTTTGGAGAAACAACCAACTTTTAATGAACACTTACTTATCCCAGGCACTGTGCTAACATTCTAAGATTAAATAATGAACAAAATCAGATATATTTACTACTCCCAAGGAACTTACCATATTTCATATTCATGTTGTATTGTATTTGGTGGATGCCATCTTTATATGACAGTAAATGTGGTAACAAACAGGCAAAGAACAAATTTTCAGTTAGTGATTGCACAATAATTTGATTAGGAATCCACTTAATGTAGATTTTAATGACAGGATGTTAACCATATCTTCAAATTAATAACTTAAGTGGTAGCATGACATAGTGCTTGAGAACCTGGTCTTTGGAGCCATAATGCCTGGGTTTGAATCACTGAGTTGCCTCTTACTTGCTTGATATTTTAGGCAAGCAATACCCTTCTGTGCCTCAGTTTTCATATCTATAAAGTGGAGACAAAGTGTGAGGATTAAATAAATACATGTAAATCACATGTGCCAAGCACATAGCAAATGCTCAATACATGACAGTAATTTTTGTATTATTAGGACAGCTCTACACAGTAATTAAGTGATGCTCCCATTAAAATCGGCATTTTGAGCAGTGCTTGTTGGCAGAGTTCTAGAAAAGTTCAAGGTCCGGTTATTCTGAAACAGCAATCAATACCTAAAAGCTACTGGTACCATTTGGTACAACCTACTTATATGAATAGGCATTCTCTACATTAGAATTACTGAAGTCAAAACAGAAAATACAGAGCCAGATCTGTCACAAAGTCCTTCTACTGTTAAACTCAATATCGACAATTTAGTTTTAGCAAAACAACAGTTTATGTTGTTGGATCAGTGGAAGTTCTGCCTCCCAGGGACACTTGGTAATGTCTGGAGGTATTTTTGCCTGCCTCAACTCAGGGGTACTACTGGCATCTAGCGAGGAGAGGCCATGGATACTGCTAAACATCCTACAGTGCCCAGGGCAGCCCCCTCCACAAAGAATTATCCAGCCAAAATGTCAGCAGTGCCAAGGCTGAGAAACTGTATTAGATTAATGTCAATCTGAATGTATCTATTTGGTAGTTTTATTTATTTTGTAAAAATAATTGGTTTATAGTTGTTGAAGAGTAATATGCTTGAGTTTATAGTTGGCTTAAAGTATATACACATTCAATATTTCAATGAAATGATTTTTATCAACATTGGGCATTCATGACAATTTTTCCTTTTATTCAAATGTGAAGAACACTGTTCTGCAGAAAGCACTCAATGTTTGCTGGTTTTGATGGTCTTTTTTTCCCACAACTATCTTAATACCTACTGTGTGGCAGAAACTGTGCTAGGTGCTCCTGGTACATCTATGAAGAAGACCATTGTGGTCTTTGCCCCCATGGGCAATCTATGTGAGAGAAAACCTATTCACAGGTAATAACGATAAATAGTATGAACTGTGATGTCCAATAAGGGAAATAAACCAGCTGTTGTGATAGAAAATAATGGCAAAAGGAATATACTTAAAAAGGTGGTCAGAGAAAGTTTTTCTGAGAAAGTAACAATACAGCTGAGAACGTCAGGAGGAAAATATTTAATTGAAACTTTTTTAATAAGAAAAATAGGAAGGCGGCTATCTTTCCCATATTCTGTTATCTTTCTACTTCAGACAGCCAAGCATGCACAAATACTTCCTGAACATTTTTCTCCTATATGCCTGGCATTGTGCTAGTTTTACACGGGAAAATAAATAATAACAAAAGGAATCTGGCTTATAGGTTTTGTAAATCAAGAATGCAATTTTTCTGCTCCTCAACAGCCTGTACTACCAATTTTTCTGCTCCTTAACAGCCTATACTACCAATTCTCATAGGAACAGGCATGACTTTGTGGTCAGACAGAGCTAGTTTCAAATCTTGCCTTGCCAAGACTGGCCACCTGAAGTTCTCTGGGCTTCAGTTTGCTCATTTGTAAACTGGGGCTAACAATACTCAAGTTATTAAGTTACTGAGATGATTAGATAATATTACTAGAAGTAGAAAAGAGTGGTTCAGATACAGGAGCCAGACAGATCTGGGTTCAAGACCAAGTTCACTAATGGCTATGTGATACCTGACACTGGAGTTAATCTCTGATATGGAGATCGGCAGTTGTGAAGATTAAATGCATACAGCATGTAGCCCTTTCTCCTCATACATTCCTGTTACACGAAGCCCCCCCGCCCCAAATTCTAGTGCAGACATTTTCTGGGCAAGGAGTAATGAGGGAAATACTCTGACTCATTTTTTCAATCAACAAAATTGACTGAACCTTTATAGTATGTTAGGCAGTATGTATTTGGACTAGCTTTCAAAACTCAGTTTAAAACAGAGTGCACGGTTAAGATGGGATAAGGTGCCTCCCTCATTTTACATCCAGTCTCCCAGCAATTTCAACCTTAGGCCGGGTCCTGGATCCTCTCCTCCTCGAAGGCGGGGACATAAGGGGTCTGCCCTGTTTCCCGGCCTAGGCCCTCCCAAGGTGTCTACACCACCCTTAGGCTGCACAGTGCCCCAGTTACCCGCCCAGGAACATGCTGCCCCAACACCTCAGCCCCTGCAAACCCCGCCCCTTCGGTCCCTCAGACTCCTCCCCCAGGCACTGGCTCAGGTCCACCCATTCTGCCTTTGCTAGTTCCCGCGCTCCGAGCCGGACAGTACCTGGAGGCCACTCCGCTTGTTCCAGGTGAAAATGGACCCTGGGTACCCGCTCAGGGCCAAGAGCAGTTCGTGGATCATTCCCACGGCGGACGTCAAGTCCCTGTATCTGTCGCACCCTCCTCCAGAGCCTCACCAGGTGACCACGGAGGCGAACGCTCCCTTCTCCACACGCACACAGGCTCCTGAGACTGGCAGTTCTTCTTGACTTTATCCGCACAGACAGTTGCCGCGGAGAGCAGACTGGAAGCCGGGAAGGGGTCGGCGAGCCGTGTCCCGGAAGTGCGCCGCGCTCGGCTGGGCCCACCCGCTAGCTCCCGCCAGTGGCCGCGGGGGAAGGAGTCTTAGTGGCTTCCCCTGCGCATGCGCCTTCAGCGCCCGAGTCGCCCGCTCGGATTTCCGGTTTGGGAGCTGGACTAGGAGGCTGAAGAGACCCGGCTGGAGCCAGACCCCGAGTGGGTGAGGCTGGCCCGGAGACAGAGATGCGAGTGTGTTGAGGGACAGCCCGAGAGGGAGAAGCTCCCAGGGGTGGGCTGAAGGGTGCTATCAGGGCGCCTTAGCCCGGTGGGAGGCCTTTGGAGGGACTCACAACGGCTCCGAGAGTGACCTGGCCGGAGGGAGCGAAGACAAAGAGGCCGGAACCCCGCACCCGCCGTTCCTTGAGCTGAGCACCGGGCCCGCGAACCCTGCAGCGCTGGGAGCGCCTGGCCAGCACCCGAGTTCCTCTTCAGGAGACCCATGACTGCTGCCCCCTCGGACTCCCCCTCGCCACCAACCTAGTGTAACTCTCCCCGAGCCCACCTGGCCCTCGATTCAGGAGCCAAAACCAACTTCTTCAGTGCGCCAGGTTTCCCATCAGTAGTTCCCGGATATTTGCTGAGCGGTTACTTCTGCTGTGAGGGAAAACAAAGACCCAATATTCAGTACTTGATATTTGTTTGGGGTGGGAATGGTAGTGGTGGAGTCTGAGGGGGCGGGGCGGACGCGGAGGTACTGACGGAGATCAGCTGCGACCCCTGGACAGAGGCTTTTTATTGCCTTCAGCAGGATGGTGACATTCCTTTAGAACTGTCGAGCTCCAGGTCTCCCATATGGTTCGAACTCACTGTGCAACACTGGTCAGGGGACCTAAATGGGTCAGATTTGGGGGAGGCGGCAAGTTGCAGACAGTACTTTACTATCCTCAGCTACTTCACCGGGCTGCCCTGGAAGTCGCCCAGAAATGCAGGTCTGTCACCTTTATGCTCCGTTTTGACTTGCTGTCCTGAAGTTGGTGCCACCTCAGATGGCCTCGCGGAGCATATGGGAAGCGAGGCCAGCTCTAGCAAGACTTTAGACATATGAGTGTATTCCTTCTGATAGTGCCATCTCTCTCTGCCCTAGGAGGACACTTCTTACAGAGAGAGACTCATCTGCAGGTGATTCTCCAAGGACATGGGAAGATAGGTGTAAGCCCTGGAACCTAGACCCATAAGTGGAGGGAAGCTGCTTTCTGCTGGGAATGATGGCCAAACCCACCCTGAGAGGGAATGGCACTAACTCTGAGACCTTCCGACAGCGCTTCAGGAGATTTCATTACCAGGAGGTAGCTGGGCCTCGGGAGGCTTTCAGCCAACTCTGGGAACTTTGCTGTCGGTGGCTAAGGCCGGAGGTGCGCACCAAGGAGCAGATTGTAGAATTGTTGGTGTTAGAGCAGTTCCTGATCGTCTTACCTGGGGAGATCCAGAATTGGGTGCAAAAACAATGTCCAGAAAGTGGAGAGGAGGCAGTGGCTCTGGTGGAAGATTTAGAAAGAAAGCCTGGAAGACCTGGACGTTCGGTGAGCAGGGAGGGGGAATTCAGAAGCGTTGTGACTGGGAAGGGGCAAGATAAAAGGCCAAATTAAGGGACAGTCAGGTTTAAAGAGGGGCAGTCTCCCTTGGTGATGCTTATACTTCTAGTCCTTTAACAGCTAACTTTTTCAGATAGACCTTATTGGGAGACGCTGCCTGGGTGTACCTTTGCCACCATGTCATAATTGAGTTATTCCTAGTTTCATAGTTTTTCACTTAATAGGGAAGAAAGGGAAACTATTTTATAGCCTGTAGTCGGGTTTACTGTTTTAATCTTTTTCTTCTGGCGTTCCAGCTGCTCTAAGCTAATGGAATAAGAAAGACCATTGTTTGGTATTAACTACCCCCACCCTCCACCCCAGCCCTAGCCATGTCCCAAAAGGATGATCTCCTTTGGGGTATTAAATAATCTCCTCTGGGAATACCCCTAATTATGACCTTGCAGTGACAATTCGTGGGGGTTGTTTCTAGGTCACAGTCTCTGTGAAGGGGCAGGAAGTGCGCTTGGAGAAGATGACACCCCTGAAATCATCACGAGAGTTATTAAGTGTTCGGCAGGAGTCAGTGGAACCCCAGCCCAGGGGTGTACCCAAGAAAGAGAGGGCAAGAAGCCCAGACCTGGGACCGCAGGAGCAGATGAACCCAAAGGAGAAGCTCAGACCTTTTCAAAGGAGCGGTGAGGAGTAGATTCATATGGGAAGACAGGATGCCATTCTAAGTTGGGAAGTAGGGTTGGGAGTAGTGAGTGGGAAAGGGATTTCAGGAATGAGTGGAATTGTAGAGTATGCAGTTTTGGGGGACCTCTTGAAGGCATGGAGTTTAGCTCTTTGCTGCAATAAGAATTCTTACATTTCCTCTCTTGATAAGTCGGCCAGAGGATGGCCCCCTAGTTTCTACCAGAACTTGGAATTATTTTCTTTCCTCCTCGTAATGATGACACTGGGTCAGAATTTTCTAGATGAAAACTTCTCTATACTTGAAGACACATCTTCCTTTTAGTCATTTTCCTTCTCCATATTAAACTGTATTTGTTTCTTTAGGCTTTTCCCCAGAAGCTCCATTCTTCAGACATACTAGGTTTTGTTACTGTCCCTTGGAACCTTAGAAGTTTTCTGAATAGCATGTTAATTGTGGGGAATTAAATTACATATATCATTCCAGTGAAGGTCTGGTAGGAAGAGGCAGAGTAAGAATTTTACTTCAGAATTTCACTACACTTTCTTTCAGTATAGCTCAACTAATTATTTGATGATTGTTGTTCACTCATTACTCCCAGGACTCTTAATGCTTTCCCCATTGTCTTTGTGCCTAGTGCTTCCTATTCTACTTGATTCTGTAGAACTTGTTTTTCTTCTTTGTACTCTGCTGAACTCCATTTTGTGTGGTTTTTTTTTTTCCTTTGATCACTTCTTTAACTCATTGAGGTTGTTTTGAATTCTGATCTTATCTTCCAACATGCCAGCCTTCTCCAGCAGTCTGGTAGTGGTCTCCGTTTAGTCATCCTGATGCCATCCCTCAACCCCACAGACAGACTTGCACAATTAATCAGTTTTTGAAGACCTACCATGTGCTTGACACTTTGCAGGAGTGCTGTAATAATAAAAGGTTCTCAGAAGAGCCTACAGTATGATTGAGAACATAAATATATGCTGAACTAAAGTGTATCGAAACAATGACAGATAATGACTTGTCACTGAGTTTGAGTACAGCAGGGGTTTGGCAGAGTGGGAGACGACGGAGGGCTGTAGGGAAGGCTTTACAGGGACATGAGCAAATGCAGCTTCTTGAAGGATGGTTAAATTTGGATAGAAGGGAGGGAGTTAAAGGCAAGGCACAGAGGCACAGTGTGCTGTGTTCTGGAGATGGGTCTCTATGAGTGGGCCGTGTGTGGTGGGCGCTCAGGTTAAGGTTCAGCAGTACATACAGCATGTGAGCTCAGGAAGCAGGAGCCTGGAGGTTGGGAGGACCGTGACTGCTGCAGTTCTCCAGGTCTGAGAAGAGGGCTAGACTCGGATGGTGGCAGAAGGGATAGATACACGAAGGGAAAACCTTTAGAATTTGGTGACTGAGTGTGAAGGAAATGGATGAGCTGCAGATAGTCTCCCCCTTGAAATCACTCTGAATTTAATTCTCTAGCCCCACGTGGAGAACTACAGTTGACTCTTGAACAACGTGAGTTTGAATGTCCTGGGTCCGATATACACAGATACCCTTCATTAGAAATTACGACAGTACTGTGGCTGGTTAAATCTGCAGATATGGAGGAACTGTGGCTGTGGTAGGTGGAGGACCTATCGTAAGTTATACTCAGATTAACCCCCATGTTATTCAAGGGTCAGCGCTGTAGGAGACAGGAGGTGACTGTTTCCAGCCGTGCTAGGACCTGCCTACAAGTGGTCAGGAGGGCTAGGGAGCAACTTGCAACAGAATTATCTGCTCCGAACACATGACAGAACTTTCCTCTCTTGTCAGCCTGCTCTGGAAAATAAAATAGTTCTCATTTTTTGAGGTTTCATGTATTTTCCCACTTTCTTCTACCCATTGAATTTTCTGAAAACATATTCTTAGACATTTTCTTTATGCCTCTTGGCTAAAAAAGGCAGGTCTGAACTCAGAGGTGTTTTTTATGATGAGTCAAAAGTATGATATTTTTTGTTTGCTTCCCTGCAAGCAGGATTTCCGCTTCCTAAAGCCCGTGTGGTCTCCAAATTGGAGCAAGGGGAGGCACGGATCCCAGATCTGGGCTCAAAGGAGAAGGAACTCCCAGGAGGCAGTCACACAGGAGGCAGACGAATGCACGCTGATCTGTTACCATCCAGGAGACAGAGAAGCTGGGTGGAACAGGATCACTGGGGCCTTGAGGACGAGAAGGTGGCAGGTGTGCACTGGGGCTATGAAGAGACCAGGACTCTCCTCGCAATTCTCAGTCAGACTGAGTTTTATGAGGCTCTCCGAAACTGTCATCGAAACAGCCAAGTGTACGGGGCTGTAGCTGAGCGGCTCCGGGAGTATGGCTTCCTCCGGACCCTGGAGCAGTGTCGGACCAAGTTCAAAGGTCTCCAGAAGAGCTATCGGAAAGTCAAGAGTGGCCACCCACCTGAGACCTGCCCCTTCTTTGAAGAGATGGAAGCTCTGATGAGTGCCCAAGTCATTTCCCTGCCCAGTAACGACGTGGAGGAGACAGCCCCTCACTCTGGCCTGGTGGGCAGCGAAGCTGAGCCTGAGGAGCTGGAGCAGGAGGGCTGGCAGCATGAGGAAGGGGAAGAGGCCCTGGCTGAAGAGTCTGACAGTGACGAAGTGGGCCAGGAGGCCACCCCTCAGGACCCCAATAACTCCACCACACCTGTCCTCTTCCGAAGCCCAAGTGGTAAGAAGCTTTTCTTCTTGGGATTTTAGGATTAGACTGAGGAATTAATGAGACTGGATGTGGAGTCAGGAAGCATGTCACCCGCCAGCTTTGTCGCTTAAATAGAGAAGAGAAGCACTTCTCAGTTCTATGTGTATTTCACTCTCGTGTGTGAAAATCAGTGAGCTAGTAAGTGGGGAATAATTTTAGATATTTTAGAGAAATACACTCAGGAAATTCAAGAGAGTCCTGAAAACGATTATCACTCCTTCCATTTATTTCTCTATAATATTTTTTAGTGATTATAAACTCACTGAAGGCTAAGAAAAACTTGGCACTGTATTATCTTTAAGGAGAATATTTATGGAGCACCTTATGTGAACTGGTGTTTTATCTTTTCTCCTCCGAACTCAAAGTAAGTTTATTATGAATTCATTTTTACTTAGAATAGCATAGTGAGGGACCACCCAAAGTTGAGTAAGCATTCTGTAAGTTTCCTCTGAGACTCATAACACACACTGGCATTTTAACGGTACTAAGAAGTCTTACAGCAAGAAATCCTGTATAACACTCTACGCTGAAATATGATTTGCCTATGGAATAACTTTTAAATATTATTGTTGATGTTATTTGTTATTTGTTTTGATGGGAAGAAGTATGAATCAGGAGGCTTTGTTCCTAGTCCTGACCACTAATCAGCTGTCTGACCATTTCAGTTTGTATCCACTATAAAATGGGGCAGGGCAGCAGAACTACTCAAAGTTGCAGGTCCTCTGCAAACAGTGATCTGTTTCTTCCATTTTTTTTTTTTTATTACATGTGTGCTGTTACTTTTGTTCTGTCCTGGTCATCTGGTCTTCCTGTCTTGCACTTTTTACTTTCACTTTTCTCTATTCTTTTTCTCTTTTTGTCAACTGGAATAAGTTTAGGTAAATCACAAACGTGGCACATGTGCTAGCTGCTGTTATTTTCATGATCTTCGTTCTTTTTGTCTTTTTCCACTGCTTTTTCTGTCTTGATTCTTTCCACTTCTTTACTTGCAGCGAGTGGGGGGTAGTGGGAGCAATGTAACCTCCAGCTGGCTCTCATTGTAAGAGAGCAAAGCATTCTAAGAGTTTGTGTAGATTTTGGAAACATGAGGTATTTTTACTTTTCCATCTGGGAGCCCAGGCTTAGGTGATCTTTCAAGATGCAGATGTTAGGACTAAGGAGTTGAGTCTGTAAAGCCCTGGCTGAGGTGGTGCTGATATTTCTCTTCTGGTGGCAGGTGTACACTGGGGCTACGAAGAGACAAAGACTTACCTTGCAATTCTTAGTGAGACTCAGTTTTACGAAGCCCTCCGAAACTGTCACCGCAACAGCCAGCTGTATGGAGCAGTGGCTGAGCGGTTATGGGAATATGGCTTCCTGAGGACACCAGAGCAGTGTCGGACCAAGTTTAAAAGCCTCCAGACCAGCTATCGAAAAGTCAAGAATGGCCAAGCACCAGAGACCTGCCCCTTCTTTGAAGAGATGGATGCTTTGGTGAGTGCCCGGGCTGCTGCCCCGTCCAGTGATGGCCAGGAAGAGATGGCCTCACACCCCATCCAGGAGACCAGTGAGGCCGAAGCTGAGAAGCAAACTGAGGAGGCAGATGAGGAGGCCACAGAAGAAGATTCTGAAGATGATGAAGAGGATACTGAGGTACCCCCAGAGGCTATGACCCGTGCTCCAGTCTTATTTCAGAGCCCCAGTGGTAAGATCCTTTTACTTCTTAAGGCATGAATAGCAAAGGGAAGGCAGTGGGATTTAGGAGAAAAGTCATCAGATTGAAGACCAGGAGGACTGGCCTATGCACACAGCAATCATGGATTCTTCTTGTGACCACCTTCTCTCTTCTCCATGTTTCCTGTCTGTTAAAGCAACTGGTTTATACCACCTGCTCACTGACTTGCCTCCTCACACGACAGCATCAGTCTGAGATGGTTGCAGACTTTGTAAATTTGCTGTCACCTGCATGTGAGCTGCTAGGTTATTCGGCAGTTTACCCAGCAGGGAATCTGAAAGCTGACATCTCCCAAGTAGCATGTCATGGAGGCAGAGTAGAATGAAGTTGAGTTTTTGTTTGGTTGTTTTTTTTTTTCCTTGGCAGGGGGTGAGGTAATTAGGTTAACTTATTGTTTACTTATTTTTAATGGAGGACTGGAGGTTGAACCCAGGATGTACATGCTATGTGTGCGCTCTACCACTGAGCTATACCCTCCCCTCCATGAGGCTGATTTTTAAAGTTTCTCCTCATTTATGTTTTTCCTTCTAGTTTCAGCTTATATACTAGCTTTATGCCTGCTTTATTCACATATATGAAAACCTGATAACCTCTGTTTTCAGACATACTTATGCAAAATTCTGAGATTTCTGAGGGAACTGACCCTTAAAATCTTACTGTGTAAGGGAAAAAAAAAAGACTTCATTATGGCTTCCCACCTCGTGGGAAGAATTATTCTGATTTTGGAGTCATACATATATATGTATGTGAATCTGGACTAGGTTGTTTACTGGCTGAGTACCTTAGAGCAAGTTACTTAACCCCATAAGTTTGTTTATATATTAAGACTGATCTCATAATATTGATATAAATGAGGTATCGTGGTGAAGCACTCAGCACAGTGCTTGGGCAGTAACTAAATAAGTTTTCTTTTCCAACAGTTCTTTAGATCAACATTCTTCAAGTGTGCTCCATGGAGCATCGATTCCACGGAGCTACTAATATGTTCCACTAAAAAATGGCTTCTAGGTTTAGGAAATGCTAAATATCCCTCTTGGAGGCACATAATTTATATTTGCATATTTAAGGTTCTGAAGTCTCATTTAATCTAATGAACCTCTGTTTCATGGGGCATCTCCTAAGACTGGGCTTCTGGGTAGAACCCTGTTGCTTTAAGGAGTACATGTACAGGTTGTCACAGCATTCTTTTGTTCTCAGATTTAGTCCAGGGAATTTGGGATCCAGAGTTCATCTGAAAATTCTGCAAAATCAAACTAAATTTGCAAACTGAAAATATGCAAGTAACTGCAAATTCTCATAGCCTAGGCCCAGAAGCCTAGAAGAATATTAAAAGCTTAGCCAGGGCATTAAAGTAGTACTTTTGGAATATCTAGTGATTATTTTTTCACAGATAAAGAGAATGTTTTAGAGAGACACTTCCTAGCAGAGTTTCTCTCTGAGAGGGCCTTTTGTTCTTTGAAAGACACCAAGTATTTTTTTATTCTGTTTTCACTCTCAATATACTTTGGAATATGAGGGGAACGGGACTCATGTAGCTCTTTTTTGATATAGAAGTTTCCTAGAGTTTTCCTGGGCATTCCCTTCTATTCCATTTAGTTACTGATACCATGAACTAGATACCATGAACATGAACGAGATACCATGATAGGCCTGAGATGAAGCAAAAGTACAGCATCAGAAGGTGTTTTTCTTGCATAAACATGGTGATAATCATCTCAGATCTGGTAGGTTTTTCTTATTTTACTGAGAGGATTTTCTGAAGATCCCAGGTATCCTGGGAGAGTTAACATATTAACCAGCCCCTACATAAATGAGAAGCATGTAACAGGTTACAAGTAGAGAAGTAAACATTGGAATTTTAATAGATGGTAATTATTTAGGATCTAGAGCGCCCTAATTTTTATCTTTGATTATTTAATGTGATACTCGCTTAACCCTGGCACATAGTATTTGAGGACATGGATAACTTTTAAAATTCTATTCTTATGTCAGGTTTTGAGGCTGGATTTGAAAATGAAGAGAATCTAAAACGGGATATTTCTGAGGAAGTACAACTACATAGGACATTACTTGCAAGGTCGGAAAGGAAAATCTCCCGGCATCTTAATCAGGGTAAAGGCAGTGAGAGTGAATGTAGATCAGGAAGACAGTGGGAAAAGACCCCAGGGGAAAGAAAAGGAAAAGCGACATCCCCAGAGAAGAGTTTAGGTAAAGTTTTAAGTCATCAGAGACCGTACTTGGGAGAGAGACCCTATAAATATCTCAGATATGGCAAAAGCTTTGGTCCAAACACCCACCTCATGCATCCGCTATCCCAACAAGCGGAAAATCCGTATAAATGTGCTGATTGCGGGAAAAGCTTCAGTCGGAGTGCACGCCTCATTAGACACCGGAGAATCCATACTGGAGAGAAACCTTATAAGTGTCTTGACTGTGGGAAAAGTTTCCGTGACAGTTCCAATTTCATCACCCATAGGAGAATCCATACGGGAGAGAAGCCGTATCAATGTGGTGAGTGCGGAAAGCGCTTCAATCAGAGCTCAAGCCTTATCATTCACCAGAGAACCCACACAGGAGAAAAGCCCTATCAGTGTGAAGAGTGTGGAAAAAGTTTCAATAACAGTTCTCATTTCAGTGCACACCGGAGGATACACACAGGAGAGAGACCCCACGTGTGTCCTGACTGTGGAAAGAGCTTCAGTAAGAGTTCTGACTTACGTGCACATCACAGAACCCACACAGGAGAGAAACCCTATGGCTGTCATGACTGTGGCAAGTGCTTCAGTAAAAGCTCTGCTCTTAATAAGCACCGAGAAATCCATACACGAGAAAAACCTCTGTCACAGTCAGCACTTAAATAAGCCCCTGAGGGTCTATGAAGGAAACAGCCTCAATACATGTACTAAAATCATTTGGAAAAGTCTTCCAACAGTGAGATCCATCTCCTCAACTGTGAGATCCATCTCCTCAACTGTGCCCTACTAGTTTAGGAAATACCCTGAAATTTACCCCACTGTTTGTTCCTATTTCTCCTGGATCTGGAGTCAAATTCCCAAAGCATCTTAAGAATGAAAGATTTCAGTCCCTCTCCTTGCTTGAATTGACAGGTAACACCTTTCCCTCTCAGTGCCCGTGTTGTTCCCCTAATAGAGAGGACCCAGTAGTAGGTCCTATGAGTTTGATGTCAGCCTTCTTTATTCATCCTGTTATTCAGCTGCATCTCCACTGGAAAAATCCATCACAGCAGCACTTCAGGGAGAAGTTGTGAGACTTCTCATTGAATGGGTCTAGCTCTTTGTGCAGTAATGGAAATGCAAAAAAGAATGACTTTTCCTGCTCACTTAAGCCTGTACTCAGAATGACAGATCTGTCACGCACACTCTTCATTTACCTTAAAGGAGGAGAGTTTAATGTCCAGCTTGGTTCTGACCTGTGAATCATCTTGTCAAGAACCTAGGTGTGCTATATGGGGAAACCATGTAAACCTTGTCTAAGTATTGAGGTGTGAACCCTGGATTTCTTAAGTTTCTTCCAAGCCCTAGAAGCTTTGGAATAGAATAATACTGCACTTATAGCACCTAGTTTGATTTTTAAATTTTTTTCCTGCTCCATCTCATCTGAATTTCATCTGTCTCTTGTGGTCCAGAAGCCCAAAGAGCAAGCCAGCTGAATGTGGTGACAGGAAAAGCAGCTAAAGCTGCCAAGAGGGAACTGTCCATATTCCACACACCCTAAACACCTGGCCTTGTGTTACACACCCTGTGGACACTTAGTACTAACCTGCAATAAGCAGAATCCACCTGCCACATTCCCATGGATTGGGAAAACAGACCGCTTTGTGCCAACAACTCTTTATACCCTAATGGTAACAAGGACAGATTGTCTTTGTCTGGTCAGTGGAGTTGACAATACTTGCACACATGCGCACACATATTCAACTGTGTACATCTATTTTTAAAAGCAGCTCTTCAAACACAAATGTAATTCTGACCTTTATAATCAAAACGTATTGAAATAACTGCCTGTATGTTCATAGTACTATGATGAGCCTGTCTGTACAGCACAAGTTAAACACACTCCATCCTTATCCGTACAGTCTAAGATAGTGTCCATGACACTGACACGGACAAACACTAAGTGCACATATATAGCTGCCACAGTTTTAGGGAAATCTAGAAAGCTAGGTAGTAACACTATGCATAAATGTGAAGGTCTAGTGCATTAGAGTTTGTGAAAATTTGAGAGGTATTTTCTTTCATCAGGAAGGCTTCATGAAATAGAAGTGTTCAGAGGGAAGGTTACTGGGTAAATGAGAGCAGGAAGAACTTTCCAAAACTAACTGCAAAACTGAGTGCTGAGTGGGTGAGAAATGGGGAAACTGGGGCGCAATGGAGCAGAAGGCAAAGGACAGACTGTAAGGAAGGTGAGACAAAAGTTGGAGCAGTGCAGAATGTAAGGGGTGGTACAATACGGGCTTCGTAGGAGGCAGAGAGATCTGGTCAGCTGAAGCACCGAGTGCCAGAGACACACGAGGAGGTGCTCCCATCCTCCAGAGTAAACTGGGGCCCGTGCTATGCCAGGAGACAACTGGGTGGCACCCAGGAAGAAGAATGAGCAGCTTTAGGGGACTGCTATGGGAGACCAAAGTCAGAAACTAGTATCTTGCAAAGATACTTTGATGGGCAGGTCAGAGGAAAGAGGACTGTGAGCAGATGGCCAAGGGCTGGGCTAAGCAGCTGTTTCATATTCACACGTAGTTGGAGTCCTGTGCCTGGACTGAGAGGTGGGGAGACAGATTCTCAAATTCACAGCTTACTGTGATAGATGAGAGACTACGTAGCACTCTGGCGTTGAGGGAATCTCCTAATTCCTAATTCTTAGGAATTAAGGGAGATGGTATCTCAATTATGTTGCCTAAGCAGACAGGAAGATGCAGGAAACACCAGTGTGAAGCAACACCTCAGGATCTGAGGCAGTTTAGGAAATGTGCTATGTTTTTTTAAAAATAAGAGATTCCTGTCTTCTGTGTATCTATGTACAGTCTTGTCGAAAAAGCACTGGTTGTGGTATCAGCAGATGTGAATTCTGGTTCCAGATGTCTTGTGTGTAAGTCAGCCTGCCTCCATTTCCCTTTCTATAAAGCAGAATAATGTTTACACCTTCATCTGCCTCTCAGGGATACCATGTTAATAAAAATTGTATCTGTAAACTGCCCAGTGTTTCCTCAGGTTTTTAAAATGTATATATATGCAAAATGATGATTAAGGTGTTGCTGGTAGGAAAAGATAAATCTTTACCTGCCTTTTTTGGCTCTCTGTGGGGTTGCTCCAGGTATGCCTGTCTGAATCTTTATGTCCTAGGCTGAGAAGCAAATTAGAATGTGGTAAAAGAGAAATTAGAATGAAATTCCTCCCATAGTATCTATATCCACATCCATTAGGACAAACCTTTATCACCTATCATAACTGGGTATGGAGAAGGAGTCTTACTTTAAAAGACCCAGGACCAGTCTGCCAATGTCCAGACGAAGAGAATGTGTGGACTGAATAGGGCAAAGGCAAAACTCTTGCCAGGGAGAACCCGATTCATCTCAAACTAGTTCATGAACCATTATCTGCGACTCCTGAGGATGGAAGAAGCAAGAAATACTACATGGTCTTCCAACATTCCAAGAAAGAGAAACCAGGCCCAACGTTGGGGGAGCAAGAGGATCTATGTGCCTCTCCCTTTAATACCCAAAAGATCTTTGTGGGGACAGACTGGGTGGCAAGTGCAGCAGGAGCAGCAAGAATATATTAGCAGGAGCTGGACAGTCATATCTGTTCTCATCAGTTGTTTCCCTAGTACTGTTATTTCTTTTTCTTTATTTCCCCCATATTATCATTCTTCCCTTTATTACTTATTCTCTATGGCCAATGCCATAGAACTTAGTATTATACACACATATATATATATACACATACATGCATGTACATACAGACCTGCCATTTCTCTTTCCCTGTAATCTGAGTATAGAGGCTGTCACATCAACTCTATAGAGAACTGTTTTTATGGTGGAGGGAAGATGAGCTATGAGCCTGATGATGGGTCAATTTTCTCTCCATTATTCGATTCAAAATCTAAAATGAAACTTTACTTCTATACACTCATAATTATCCAGTGAGATGCATGTCTCAAAAGTTTTGACATATGAAATGTTACTGAGTATCCTCTGCCACATTACTTAAAGTAACAGATGTTATATGGAGATACTTTACTTAGGAGCTTAAATTCCTTCTACATCCACTATGGGCTCCTTCAGAAATAAAAATCTGGAACAATTAGAAGTCAAATTAAAGGCTGGAAATAGAATTCTAAAGTACCCTAGAGCCCAAGAAATGTCTGGCCAGCATAGTTTCATTATGGTGAAAATAAGAAAAGGTAAGATAGGGACATTTAAAAAAAAATCTCGACTCCGAGGGGATTAAACATGAGAAGGGCAAAGCCAGATCTCAGCTTTCTGTCACTAGGTCACCCAAAGGAGATTAACCCTGGCTACTGGGATTCACAAAAATCCATGGTATGCAGTGTGGCCTCGAGTCAGCAGTTGTGGGGAATACTTAAGTGAAGGGAGCTGATTAAGCATAACCAAATACGGAGCAGTCATCAGCTTAAAGGTTGTGTTCTCCCCTCTCTCCTCACGTTATTTAGAAATTTCAAAACTTTTCTGATCAGAAACTACTTTGTTTTTCTTGAAGTTTTATGACCGCTAATGGAGAGGGATTGTTAAGTCAAAATCACTGCTGGAATGAGGACTTCAGTGAGCAGCAACACTCAAGTCCCTTCCAGCGGGCAGCACGGAGGTGAGCCGTGGTAGACCTCAGAGCCTGCTAGTCAGCTTAAGACTGACTGACCGGGCGCCCACCATGAGTAAGGTGCTGGTGTCGGGGCCCACGGCCCTTGGCTGCTGTGCTTCCAAGGGAGGGAGCGGTGGGGCCCACGGCCCTTGGCTGCTGTGCTTCCAAGGGAGGGAGCGGTGGGTGGTTTACTAAGTGGGTAACAGCAGGGAGAGATCCTGGTTGCAGTACATACTGGAAAGTACTTCACCTTATTACAGCTTAAAAATGTAACACTCTGGGCTTCAGATGATTCCACTTCTTCCTCAGTTCAGACTTGGTGCTGTCAGAAGCAAAGATGTAGCTGATGGATTCAGAAGACAGATCCCACACTTGAGACTGGGTCAAATTAAATGTTTCAGCTGCCAGCTGGTACTCCTGAGAAAGGTGTGTTGCAAAAACACCCTTATCATCAGTCTGTCAACATAAGCAAGAAAATTTCAAAATGAATGAGGAAATGATTTTTTAAAAAACAGCTTCTGTATAGAGTCTTATTTTCCTATTTACCATGCTTCTTTTAAGAGTCTAAACGGGGGCCTATAAATGTATCCATGCATATCTATAACAAAACAGGTTTGTTATTCTTTTTAAAAACAAAAGCAAACAACAGAGCAGTGGCTCTCAACCATGGCTGCATATTAAAATCACCTAGGGAACATCTGTGCCCAGGACTCACCCCAGATCAAATAAAGCAGATCTCAAGGGATGGGTGCTGGGCACCAGTGTTTTTGTTGCTGTTGTTCCCCCAGGTACCGTCCAGGACCTGCCCCCACAGAGCCAAACCAGAGACATGCTGGCCTTTTGCAGCTTCTCATGCCCTAATCCCCTCTCACTCCTCTACTAGGGCATCACCCCCAGGCATGCAAGGAGGTCAGCTAGGTAGTGAATGTCTACCCAAGGCAACTGAGGGACTACAAAGGAGCAAAATATCCCACAGAGAACACCTTACACAGATCACGGCAGGATGGGCAACGCTGTACCAGAATCCAAAATGATGCCGGCCATAGCTCGGAACTGTCTGACTTTTGACGTTTGAGGTCAAACAGAGTTCTAGATGAAGGAGGGAAAAGGAAGAAGCCTCTTATAAAAAGCAGGTTAGGAGACTCACTCGATGTTCACCAAGTAGACACGAGAAATCTTTCCAAACTATGCTAATTTTCAGTAGTTCATTACTTTACAAAATTGACCTTTCCTTACGTGTGAAAATTTGCAGTCCAATTAGTGTAGTTGTGTGGGAAATACATGCGTAGTTTATGTGTAGCAACCGTACCAGGCAGGGAATTAACATCCCCTTCACAGCCACGTGCTTCCTCCTTTCTTTTCCCACAATGGAGAGGAAAGAGGAGTGTGATAAGCCAGTCTCCATGAAGAAGGTAGGGAAGCAGCGTGTCAGGGGAGCAGAAGGAATCTTTGCAGGGCTGCTGCACTTCTTCCTGGTCTGACAGTGGAGGCTAAAATAAAGGTAAGAAAACAGTAGCACTGCCTGAGGGTTTACAGTAACACAAAAAGCCAAGGGCAGAAACAGACTTCTTCCGTGGCTTCAAAGAAAACCTCTAAACTCCTTTACTCAGATAACCATCCATTCATTGCCTGCTGCAAGTATGTGCTTCTTAAGGATGACTTCTACGATGATCAAACTCCTGCCTTGAAACGCTCCCCATACTGGGCTCCCCCAGCAAGACTAAAACACTTCACTGACTTGATGGACGGTGTCTGCTCACATGAAGAAGGGCACAACACCGGGCCACTCAGCCTGAGCAATGGCTAACCCAACCCCACCACACCAAGTGGTTTCTAAGATTCTCTAGTTTTGTGGATGTTTAAAAATTTCCCTAAGAAAAAGAAAAAAAACCTCACCCATTATGAACTGCTGAAAAACTCTATAAGTGGTTAGACAACACACCTACACAAGTGTTAACTGCAAACTGTTAAATACGTAAGTTCAGCCAATTCATCATTTAGTAAAAAGCAGCCAACTGCATCTTTCCCTGTTCCCTTCTCCAACCATCCAACTGAAAGTGGTTCTCTTATCATTCTATCGGCCTGTTTAATTTTCCTCAAAGAATTTAATACTGACCGTTTTCTCGTGTATTTGCTTGCTGTCTTATCTGTGCTAGAACTTAAGTTCCTTGAGAAAGAAACCTTGTCTGTTTTGTTTACTGCTCTATTCCCAGCAATCTGAACAGTGACTGGAGCAGAGGAGGCACTCCATGAGTATTTGCTGTGAAGTACAAATAGCTCCAGGTATACACATGTAGACAAACAAGGGTGTGATGGTCAACAGACACATAATAATATGACGGGAATTTTGCAGAAGTATTAATTTTTAAATAAATGTCGCACACTTTCATAACATATGTTAGTTTGGTTAAAGGCATTTCAAAACACCAGATGACCCTTATTCCTTCAATACAATACAGAGTTCCAGGAACTGAGGAAGGTGGCAGTGAACCAGACCGACAAGGGCCCTGCTCTCATGGAGCTTATATTCTAACGGGAGCTAAGACTTCCTGTTACTTAAGTGAGGCTGAGAAAGCATCAGTTAATTTCTAAGTGACATTTGTATATTTAGAACAGTGCTTTTCTCCATACGGCCTGCAACCTGGGAACTGGGGGAGGAAGAGGCAGAGGGTTGTCTGGAGGACTTGAAGCCTTGAGCCTTACCGAGTGGTATCTGGTGCTGCCTCACGAAGTCCACCAGATCCAGGGACCCTCCCTCAGAGGAGCTGAGAAACGTCCCATGCCCGATCCGATCCGGAAGCAGATCCAAGAGTACTTGGGTTTCTTTTTTTTGGTTTGGAATCTCAAAGAAAAGAGAAAGAGGGAATCAAAAATCCTCTTTTGATGGTTCTTAAAAGTACTTTTTTCTATACCCAGAGACTGTTCCTCTGGAAGGTAATGTGGACATTCTGGGAAGCTAAGCAACTCACACCTTACAGTTCTCTCCTTTGCCTTTTATCTTTCCACTCATTTCCTAATGTTCCTCTAGATCCATTTCAGTGATAATAACGATAGAGTCAATAATGATATCTAAGGACCTATTTTGTGCCCTTTCACGTACATTCTCCTTTAAACCTCACAAGAATTAAAGTATTAATATGAAGAAATCAAAACTCAAAAAAAGTAAGTAATTTTCAAAACCAAAACCTTACAACTTTGTACGCTTGTGTTCTGTGTTGTGTGTATGTATTCATATGTATTAGAAAAAGGCCTGGAAAAAAATATATAAACACAAAACTACTAACAGGAGCAACTGGTAACCAGAACTAAAGTGGGAAGGGGACCTTCCATTTTTTATTTTTTTACTTCTACTTTACACTACTTCACACTACTTCTCTACACTTGGATTTTCTTGGATAGATATAACTTTTATAGTTAAAAATATGAAGCATTAAAAAGAAAAGTTGTCTAAGCTCATAGAGCTGGTGAATGAGAGACATGAGGGCTCCGCCTGGCTCCGCCTGACTCCAGGCTCAGACTCCATCCACCTATAGTGCGCCTGTGCTCTATCCTGACAAGGCTCGCTACGTACCAACCACAACCACCATGAAAACGTCTAGCTGTGCCCTTCACCTCCTAGAGACCCTAAGTGGCAAATGACCATAAGATGTTGAAATGAAATGTTTTATAACCAGTGGATCAAACAAGAACAGCAAGAGAGGCCAAGGTAAAGAGCAGGTTCTGATGCTGTACACAAAGACCAGAAGGAACTGGCCGCATGCTGGCTGTTCCAGTATACTAACCAATGGCTTCAATCTGGCATCAGGTCAACTAGAGGGTGTCCTCTGCGTGAAAGATCTTTTTGATCAGAGCGTGGAAACATGGATCCTAGATTTTTAAGTTCTGCCACTAGATTACTGACTCTCTGCTTGTAGATGTGAAAAACACCCAGTATTGACAAGAAGCTCCAATTTTTCCCCAGTCTTTAAATCATGATCCCATCTAATACTCAAAATAACCATGCGAGGTAAGCAGACTAAGTATGACTAAGTATCCTTTCCTGCTTTCAAGAAACAAATCCAAGTTCATCAAGTTGTAGACATTAATTTTGTACAGCATTTTTTGCATGTCAAAAAAAAGAAAAGAAGTAATTAAATAGGTAGAAGTCCTGAGGTAGAAAGTAAATCTATCTGTAAAATGGGGAAACGTGCAGGAGAGTTCCTTGTCTGCCTCACAGGGATGCGCTTATTCAGCCTGTTCTCTAGCCACGACCTGTGCACTATCTGTCTCTGGGCTCATGCTGCAGAGATCAGTAGAGGGCACCTGATCTGCTGAGCCTTATAAAACGATGATGAGCTCCTTCCTTTCTTGCCAGCAGCGTATGTGATACATTTAGGTCCCTTCCCCTGTGAGGACAAATGAGACAAACTCATGCTTTTCTCAGTGTCAGCTTGCCAATAAGAAGGCTGCTGATGGAAAGTCAATGCATCTTCTCTAGACAGATGTCGTTAAGCTATTTTAAGGACACAACTGTAGTGCAAGTCAACAGCCACCCCAGGAACTATAAAAAACAGTGACACGAGGGACTAAAGCAAGTCATGCCTTTATCATTATAATGTACACAGAAATATTTCTACTTTCTCCATCTAAAAATGTTTTTCCAGGTTTACTTTTAGTCATTTTATAAATGACTAATGATTACTATCTTCCATTAATTATTTTCCATTGTAATCTACCCTCTCCAGCCTCATTTGACAATATTTATTTACCTCTGAAAGATGCAATGCCAACTTCAACCCTGATTTCTTAGCTTCTAAAAGAGGTTCCAAGAAGTCTTTTGCTTGTCCTGCCTTGAAGATAAAAGTTGAAATGAGGCTGTTTGAGTCTGGGCAAACTGAAGAGCTGGGTATTCTGTCTCAATAAACAAAAGAATAAAATAATAGCAGGGAAAAAATGGCAGATTGACTCATTTGCACATTTTGTCTAATGTGCTACATTAGGGAATTCAAAGCTGGCAAAGAACAGTCTTTTGCACTCAAGAATCTTAAATCAAGTTTCAGTGAACTCGAGATCAATCAGCTAAGCTAGACATAACAGTCACCAAACTTTAGTTCTGGAAGGATATGTATTCAAGTACTGCTAAGGAGCAGAACTCATCTGATTCAGGAATCAGCATGATTAGTAAAGAAAGCTTCTATCAAATGGGCAGATGAAACAAGGCCAGAACAGCCCAGGTTTAGACAAAGCCCTAAGAACCAGTTTCCTGGGACTCTCTAATTCAATGGTTTTCAACCAGGGGCAATTCTGCTCCCCCAAGGGACATCTGGTAATGTCTACAAACATTTTCAGTTGTCACAACTAGGAGGGTGCTGGTATCTATTGGACAGAGGCCAGGGCTACTGCTAAACCTTATAATATACAGAATTATTTGGCCCAAAATGTCAGTAGTGCCACAGTTGACACTGTGACAACAGTGTGACACTCTGTTTGAATCTGACCTTCAAGAAGCTCTAGGCCAGCCTTTTTCAACTGGGGGTTCTGTGAGATAATTAAGCCTTTGCCATAATTAAGCATTAGACATGGATTGTATATAATGAGTTAACTTTTCTCTTATGTATGTAGAATGTGTACCACCTTCAGAAAAATGAAGAAAATAATCAAAGTCATGCAATTTTTTTTTCTTTTTTAGGCTTAATTCTTTCACAAGAACCCTGATTGAGAGCAGCTGTGCAGACATTCTGGTCATCCAGGGCAGAAGAGCGCTTCACCCACACAGAGAGTCTGCTGGACCTCTGGAGAAGGAAGGATGCTCCAAGCCAATCTTTACCCCACACTTTGATTCCACCTTTTAGAAGGAAAATGTATTTTGGAAAAATAACTTACGTTAGGGTCACCACTGAGGTCGAGGCCAAGAACTGTATCCTCAGAAGAAAGGAAGAACTCTTCAGCAAGTTTAACAGTCTCCTTGGCTACTGAAGGGCCACCTCTTCTGTCTATTGACATCAAATACCTTTAATATAAGAAAAACATAGCTGAAAACGAGTACTGCGCGGATGAAAACGACAACCCTGAGTATGGCAGGAGAGCGGAGAGAGACGCAGGCTACACGGAATTCATCTTACTGGGAAAAGTCCGGCCTGACTGACGTGACATCTTTTTCCACCAGAGTGAGTGAGACATAAATTCCTAAACAGCACCAAATACCTAGTTGGTGTTCAAAATAAATTGGAAACTGGATCTAATCTAGAGGCTTAATCAATCAGATCAGATTGAATTTTGGGGCAAAAGGATTTCATAGGTGGTGGTGGCTCTTTCATTAGGGGGCTTAGATACATATTTCATTAAAGGTTACAAGATTGGTACTATTCTAATTCTAAATGTATCCAGTAGCTGATACAAATTCATTCTTCACACATTCGCTGGAATTCTACAAGGAATCTAATACCTGGAGAACCCTTGTTAATTTTCCTCCAACATTTATTAGTTTATCTATTTATTTACAAAATAAAGAAATCCCTCCAGCATTTATTTATTTTCAAAATTTAGATCAACTATATATAAAATGTAGTGTCTTTTCTTTTTCAGTTAACAATTTCCCCTGCCATTAAATAATGTTAGAAAACAATATAAATCGTATGCACATAACATAATGTAATTATCCTCTGACTGCTGGACATTTTAGGATGTTTTCTACTTTTTGTTATAAATAACATAATGGAGAATCTTAACATTAATCAATCTATTTCTTTAGGATACATTTCTAGGAAAGAATTACTGGGTCACAGAGGAAAATTATTTTATAGATCTTAATACACAGTGCTCTTTAGAGATGTTTTTATTAATTACACATGCTCACCATCAGCTCAAAAACACTGGTTATAACCCTTTTATGGGGGGAGGGGGGCTATTGATATAGCGTTGTAATATTTCTTTTTTAAATTATCTGATTTGTGAAGTTAAACAGTTTTCTATACATTTACTGGCCATTTGTATGTCTTCTTTTCTGAGTTCTCTTCTTGTCTTTTGTTTGTTTTTTTTTATTGGGGTATTAGCCTGGTTAAGCTTAATTTTGAGAGATATTATAGGCAGAAACTATACGGTTAGCTTTCTTTCTTCAAGGACTTACTAAGCCCTGATTATCTGCCAGCTCTGTGCTAAGTACTAGAGGTGCAGGGGTGAATCAAAAGACAAGGTCCCTGACCTCACTGAATTTACAGTCTTGTGGGTGAGTATGCACACACAAACAAAACAAGAAAATTTCTGGTCCTGTTAAGAAGAGTGCTGGAAAGGAAATCAAGGGGGTGAATAGAGGATTTGGGGAGGCATTTTAGATAAGGGGGTAAGGAAGGCCCCTCTGAGGAAGCAACAGCCACACTGAGACCTGGATAATGAGAAGCCAGCCATGCAAGGATATGGTGGAAGTGTGTTCTCAGCAAAAGTAACAGAAAGTACAAAGGTGCTGAGGTGGGATAGTCTTGGCCTAGTTGAGGAACAGAGGCCAGGTCAGTGCGTGGTAAGTGACAAGTGGTCCAGATGAAGCTGTTGAAGTAAGAAAGGCAGCCACATGGGACCCTGGAGGCCACAATAAGAAGTCTGGATTTTAGCTCAAGAGTCATGGGAAGCCATCCTTCACCAGGGCAACAGGACTCAGAGCTTTACTGCCACACGAATAAATTCAGAATTGCATTCTTAACTTTAAATGACAGAGTTCTTGACTGTTTTTTTCTGTTATAAGATAAAAATCAGTTACTGGTTGATTTATAAAAGTCCAATATACCCATGATCGAAAGAGTACATTTTTCACATTCTAGTTTTTTAAATGGTGACCACTAAGGTACAAGACTTCTCACCTAACATCAATGTCTATGTTTTCTTCTTTGGACTGTTTTATACCTTCAAGTATAGATTCCACATAAGTCTTTTTAGTCATTCCTGGAAAGGAAACAAAGAAAATATTTGTAAAGAGATCATCAACTATTTCATCCTTCAGCAGTAACATCCCTATGTGAACAATTACATTTTCACTTCATGTGTGACAAGGGTGTGGTTAAAGATGAGTTATGGATACATTTTTGTAAATGCTAACTGTACTTTAATAAAATTGAAAAAAATGAAATACTAGGAAAATGAAATAAAAAAAGACATAAACTAAAAATACGAGCCTGTTTAAAATTATTCTCAAATTCAACAGACATAAAACTACTCTCACAACTTGGTATGAAAATTTTAAATGCTTGTTCTAACAAAACAAGAATTACAAAATTCCTTTTCTAAGGCCTGTCCTTAAAAAGATACCAAATTTTTTTTTTCTCTATTAGCAGAATGTTTTCCTGTTGGCCTAGGAAAAAAATCTTCTTGGGTTCCTTTTCCTTCAGCCCTGCTCAGGCTCAGTATTTCTTGCCCAGGGCAATAGAGTTGTTCTTTCAAGTTCAGGTGTTCAAGTCCTCCCCTTCTGTGGGGCCCTGAGAAAGCTCCCCAGAACAATCTCCTCTAAAATACTCTCATATCCCAATTATAAAATGCTTACTTTTAAGTGAAAAATCTCTAGGAAAAAAAAATGGAAAATTATAGAAAATAAAAATAATCTGTAATCTCACCATAATAACCAATGTCTGTTTTTCTAAGAGTGAGTGAGTGTGTGTGTTGTGTGTGTGTGTGTGTTGTGTGTGTGTGTGTTTACATACGTATGTATATGTATATATAGTTTTGAATAGATGAGATGCTACTAGGTATATACATATCCTGTTTACTCATTTAACATTGTGTTCTGAGCATGTCTTTTATGTCATTAAAGTGTCTTTGCAACATTTTTTAAAGTTTTTTAAAAAATTCTTTCGGGGGAGTAATTTGATTGCGTGATTGATTTATAATGGAGTTATTGGTGACTCAATCAGGACCTCATACGTGCCAGGCATGCACTCTACCACTGAGCTAAATACCCTCCCTGCTTTTGCAAATATTTTTAATGGTTGCCAAATGTTCCATTAATCTTTATTTGACTATTCCCCTATTGCTGCTGACTTAGGTTAACATCTTCCTTTGAATCTCCATTTGAACTGGCTCTAAGGATTGGCAGTTTCCTTCTCTCCTTCCCTTTTACTACCCTCACCAGCGTAACCTGGAACTGACCCTGCGGTTTAAAAATGTGAAAAAAGAATCTTCTGTTTGTCCCATGTCAACACTTACTTTACTATATGTAGTTTCAAAAATTTTACCCACTGAATGATGCTGGGCTACACGTGTCAGGATGCAAAATGATCTGAACACAAAGTGCTAAGAGGGACCCAATGACACCATACAACATCTCCTGATGCTGCTCTTAAGGAAAGGGGGTCCCAGGAAATTTCTGCAGACCACATCTAGGTCTGCCCATCTCCAACCAGAGAGGTTTCATCACAGCACAAGTTCCTCCTAGCCTATGATAGATACCATGGGTCCCTGAGAAGAGACTGAATAACCTTCATTTCAGTGACTGTCATGAAACGTGATCCTGCATCCACTCAGTAGCACTGTCTCACAAGTACCTTGACATGGGAACGAGAATCAAGTGTCTATTTACGACAATGTAACTATAAGGAACAGGTGTTCTTTTCCCAGAGTGAGAAAAACAAGTAAGAATAAATAAAAATTTTGCAGGTCTTTTTATTTTCCTTCAACAGACAATACCTGACCTGATTTTTTAAGTTAAAAATAACTCACTCAATAACATACATCATTAATGTATGTCAGAAGATCTGGACCCTTGAGCCTACTTACACAACAATGTAAAAGTACATACTTCATAGTCTCAACTTGCAAACACATGGATGATCAAAGCATAAGAGAAAAAAGATAGAAATCTCCCAAGAAGCAATTAGATTCCACCTGTAGCATTTTCTCCTCTGGGGGTGCTCCTTATTTCCAGGTACTTGACACCATCATCTGCAAATTCTTTAATGACATCTTTTGTGACCTGATAATGAAGACAATGTATGCAATATTGAATGTTAGCATACGGGTCCCAGTGAAAATGCCAAGTGCTAAAGCTTTATTTCACACACTAAATTTGATTTGCAAGGAGCGCTGGAAGTGTCCCAAGGGTTAAGATGACCTGCTTTGTCACAAACTCAGTGCAGGCTGTGACAAAACCACATTTCCAACAGCTTCCCTCACCCCCCTCATTCTCACGTTAAATCCAACTATGCACATCAACCTCACCTTTGATTTCTCTTCTCTCCTTTAACCATTTCTCTATTTCCCAGTGAACAGCAGATTGATAAAACAGAGAAATGAGGCAAAACTAAAACCAGTAAAACCATCTATGAGTGTGTAGTTACATAAGGAAATAAGCAGCTAAAACGATTCAGTGCTACCGATGCACCATTTATAGTCATGGCGTAAGGTTCTTACTCAGGTTATTTAGGTATAAGTTGAATTTTTCAAGAATTTCTTAAGGCAGGGCTCAATTTCCCCCAGAAGTGTTTAGGAAAATTCCTCTTGGGCAAAGAAAATGGGTGACAAATTTAAGTAAAGCAGTATTCAATTTACTACAAAACTCAACAATCCAGAAATTACTAAATGACCAAGATGAATAATATCTAAAGGTTGAAGGCACATTTCCCCTCACTGCCATCAATCCTAAAATATATCAAATCTAGAAGAAAAAAGAACCAGGATGGAGGTGCTGTGACAACCAGACCTAGCTAGTCCTTCCAGACCTTGGTATCCTAACCTTAACCTGCTTTGACCACATGCACGTGGGCATCCTGGCAAAGGAACAAAGGTTGGCTGGTTGTGCAGACAGTGCCTAACTGGGTGATACCGCCTTGGTGGATTCATTGCAGTCCAAGGTCTGGGCCTCATCTTTTTTCTTTACACTAAACCCAAAAAAGGAATTTATTATAACATGAATGTAACAGGTGGCTCAGATTCATCAGGAGGTCTGCAGAATCAGCCTCAGAGGTGACACAGCTCAGGACAATACAAAAGCATTCGAAATCATCTGGTACCCCTGGACCAAGTGAGACACCACTGCCTCTTCTATTACTGAGCACAGCCCTGTGGCCTCTGCACCGTCACCACAGGCACTACACCCCAGGGGACTGCTGTTCCAGGAACTTTCCATTGCTGCCACTGCCACCACCAGAGTGGGGACCTTGTCTTTGCAGGGTGAAGAACTGGCATCTTATCATTGCTCCAGAACTGAGCAGACCTGAGAGGCCAACTCACCCTACCCCAGCTCACAGGAGACTAATGTAGAAGCCTGTTTGTAATGTATGTGCATCAACAATGAGGGTGGAAGTGAGGGTGAGAAGTGACAGTCTTTCTTGGTGACTGAAGTGGTCTTACCTACTATCCAGGGCACCCCCTTTTCTGGAGGGGAGGGACCTGTGAAACCAAACAGAACAACAGGAGGCTGCTGGCAAGCACAGGCTAAGAGCAATGGGAGGAAGGTTTATCTAGGCCACAGCAAGGTCCGTGGAATCATCTCTACCCCACGGCCAAGAACACTTCCCTATGGTCCACATCCACATCCATGTCTGCCAGATTCAGCCCTTTCTACTCTATGCAGCAACAGGAACTGAGGGCAACTCTTGGCTCTATGGGCTTTTCTCTCCTGTGCTCTGGACTGAGAACGTCTACTCAAGTTCCTTCTTCAAAGAGAGTACATCACAAGCAGTTACGCTCACGCTTATCCAAGGATTGTAAGACTGCACATCTTGAATGAGAAAGAACATGGGCTCTGGAATCAGACAAAATAGTCAATTCTGCCACTTACTCTAGGTGTGTGATCTTGAAAAAGTTAAACTTAACCTCTTTAAGCCTCAGTTTTTTTTTCCACCTGCAAAAAGGGAAAGCTAAAAATTCCCACCTCAGAAAGTAGTTTTGAGTATAGTCACAATTCAACCCTGTCTCTCTGAGATGACACCCAGTCACCTTGACTAGACTGTTAAGTGATCCCCATGCACTCAGTTCCACATCTACAAACAATCTCTTGGCTTACTCCCACACAGGGTTCACTTATTATATGTAAATATTATTAATTTCATTCTCTGGGGCATCTCCCAGTCATCCTCTGAACCACCTGCAGGTGCTCATCTCAACAGCACTAAGTCAAATGCCACAGAATCTTAATTCTTCACCTCATTTAATAAAGCTTTTTACCAACTTTGAATGGAATCAAATAATGAGCATGGCATCATTATATCCATGGAGCTCTCAGAATCTAAAATTTTATCAGTTCTGCTCTGTTACACTCAACAACAGAAAGTGAGGCAGAGCCCCTGTGGTGGTCGTTCCTAGCAGGGTTCAAAGGTATCTGTTGAGGGGCTGATCAGACAACGCTCCCTTGGGTTCCTATAAATCCCTGTGCATGTGTCTAACACAGAGCTGACCTCATGATGCTGGATTTATCTGTTATGCGTCTGTCTCTCCAACCTGACTATAGATTCCTCAGGGGCAGGGACCATGTCGATCTGTCTTTATATCTCCCAGTCTTTAGCACAGTGACTGGAACACTGTGGGCACTTAGCCAACTTCGTCGCACTTAACTTTTAGAGTTAACCTTCCCTGCAAAGGTGATTCATTTACCTAATACTTATCATGAGGATCAGTCTCAGCCAAGGAGGAACATTCTTGACCAGTCAAAAATTAGCTCTCTAGAAACACAGATCATACTTTTCACTTTGCATTTTTTCTAATAGTTTAAGAACACTGATAGGACTCTGCTTTTCTCCAATTACAAAGATTTAAAAATGTTATCCTGGTCAGATCAGTGACACAGAAACCAGTCTTTCATGTCAGACTCTAGTATTATAGAGCTTCAGGTAAGGAACACAGTGGCGTCCTCTGGTCCTTCATCCACAGAGGGAAGGCACAGTTTCCCCAGGGATTAATCATTTACTCTCCAAGTACCTCTGGAACTTTTTCATTCTCTATAATGTCCACCTGGGGAATTTCAAAGTATCCCAAGCAATGCAGGTAAAGCCTGTGGTCAGATATTTCATATGACATGTTATATATGGAAAATAGGATGAGATTTTCTCCTCCCCACATTGTCCACTATCTAATAGAAGATTTTGATCTTGGTTCTTTCCTCATGTCTCTTACAATGAACTAGTCTTCTGATATTAGCTCTACATTGCTTTTTAAAAGAGTTGCCATAAAAAAAGCAGAGAACATTTTTCATCAGACTCTTGCTAACAGCAAAAGGTCATGTGCATCAATAGAAGGGCATTAATTACTTAATAAGTTTTAAACCACTCTAAAAATTGCTTCATTTCTCACCATTAGAATATCTTCAGGGCTAGTAGTAAGCTGATGAATAATTTCAAACATCTGGAAACACCTGCAACACGAAAAGTTTTAACATATTCAGTCATCAAAAATTTCACTAAATAAGAGACTTTAGGCTAATAGTAATTACATATTTATAAAGAACTACAGCAGAGGTTTTCAAAAAATTACATTGTCTTTACATTGGTAGGCTAAACCAATGACTGAAAATCAAAGGTTTTACCTTTAAAAGTGGGAAATAATGGTTCCCCTTTTCTACCCCCTCACCTGTATCCCAAGCCATTAACAACAAACAGGGAAAAAAATAAACAAGGCTGTATTTTCAAGTCTAAAAAATATTCCAATAGCATAGAACTTCACAAATAATATAAATCACTAAAAATACCGTCAACAGTTTGACAATTGGAAAAAATGCTGTATGTCAAGTTATACTCTCTGTACCAGGTGGCTACCCTGTCCCTGTAACTACGAAAATCTGAATCCTTACATACTATTCACCATCTCAAAATAGTGATAGAGAAAGAAAGAAGTACGTCCACAACCTCCCAAACTCACTCTTCTAAAGTTCTTTTCTTTCCCTTGTCAATCATAGTCATCTGATGGTGGATTTTAAGACCTGGCTTCTTGGCTATTAATTTCTTTATAGTGTTAGAACTAATAGATCCATTCAAGTGGGCATGAAGTTCCTAAAACAAGAGAAGACAATCAGTAACAACTTCTCAAGTATCCACTCGACTCCTCACATCACACAGGTACTTGATGTTTGTAATCTGCACTAGGCAAGGCGGGTGCAACTATATAACTTTAAAAATCTACAAAGTTTAACAAATTCTATCTACAAAGTTGACTTTTCTTTTGTGAAAAGAAACAACACAGAAGTCATTAGAATTAGCAACCACTACATAATTCTGTGGTTGAATTCTCACCACTTTAGGTAATTCTGAGTAAAAGGCTGTCTTCCATGGTGGTTGTTCTTCTGCCTCCATCATGATTTAGCAGAATAACAAGGTCTTTCTTCAAGCACTTAATTCTTGGTATGAACAATAAAACGCACTTCAGTCAGTAAGCTCTGTGATCTTGAATTTCCTTCAGACTGCTTTGCTTCCACCCGTTTTGATAAAATAAATTGTGGAGTAACTCTGGGCTCAGCTCCACCTACTTAAACAAATGTCACCATTATCAGATATTGACGCAAAAGCAAAGAAACAGGTTTTATTAATTTATTCCCTTAAAGACAAAAGCTCCTCCAAAACTAACTTAAGTGAGCTAACAATCTGAACTGGAAATAAGAAAGGCTGGTAAGGGGTGGATTAAAATCTGACATTTAGTAAGGTATATTCCTTTACCTATGAGCACTTTCTAGAAAACTACTTCTAAAATTAGAAATTGATAAGGCCTATTTTGAACTGTTTAAAATATATAAAGGAAGGGCAGAGGCACTGGAATCAGATGGACCTAGCTTAATCCTTTCTACCAGTTCTGCCCTTGAGCAGCTGTGTGGCCTTAGTCACTTAGCCTTCTGGCTTCACTTTCCTGATTTGTAAACATGGGATAAAGCTGCGATAAAAATGCAGAGTAGCTGTGTAGATTAATAAAGTAATTTAAATCCCCTTCTTCTATACATCCATATAATCCAGTGACTACCTTTAACTCAGCACTTTATCACACTGTATCACCGATTTACTAGTTTTTCTCCCTCACCAGACTACACAAACTGCCCAAGACGTTTCCTTGAGATAAGATCTTTCTACAATTGTACGAATATTTCACCAAGTTAGAGCAGGGCCAGAACCAGGTCTCCTGTTCTCCCAGAGTTTTTTCCTCCCCCTCTCCTCCACAAAAGGGAACTCAGAATAATAAAAACACTTACTGCTATTTATTAAGCACTTAGTATGAGCCAGACATTCTGCTAAATGTCTTAGATGGTAATTTTACTTAATTCTCATAACAACCCATGAAGTACTGTTGTCCCATTTTACATAAGAATAAACAGACTTTTAAAAAAAACCCAGAAAACAATAAGGTACCCAAATCACAAATTTTGCTTCATTCTTTTTCTTCTTGAATCGTTTCTTGATCTGCTCTTTACCAAAAATGCAGTATTTCTAACATGTTATGTACATTTTTACTAACTTGTCATTTAAAAATTCATTCTATAGGGCTATATATATTTTTCAAAGTCCTACGACTCTTTTTTTTTATTTGACCCTGAATCAGTTCTGAGACACCTCACAAAGCAGCACTTAACTTCCTCATTTTAGACATGAGCATCTCAAAGCCCAGCAAGGTCAGGGGAGTCCTTCTCCCAGTCCCTTCAGAGGCAATGCCCAACTCATCAGGCGTTCCATGAGACCCATCTGCCTCACACTGAACTGACAACAGCCACCAGCTTTATCAAGATAAAGGAAGCCATCAGGCATGGATTTCCTCTATTTCTCTCTACCCTCCTTCACATTTAAACTTATCTTTATCTACACCCCTTATCCTCTCATCAGTCAGAAAAACAGGATTCACTTTCTTGTCCCCAAGGCTTATTTGTGCCCAGGATCCCATTCCTTCCTATCTATTCCAAGTCATTACTCCACTAGCTAATCTTCTCACTTTTCTGTTCCTCGGCCTCTCTCTTCACTAGCTAATTTCCCTCAGGGGACCAACATGTAAGTACAATATTTGCTTCCACCTTTAAAAAACAAAACAAAACAAAACAAAAGACAAACATTCTTTTATCCAATATTCCTCTTTACTGCCCTGCCTCTTCTGGGCTAAATTCCGAGGACGGCCTCCATTTACTCATCTCCCATTCACTGAAACATGGATTCTGCCCTTAATGCTGCACAGAACACCAGACCTAAATGACGCAGTTCCAGCATCCAAATCCAAACTGGCTGGAGTCCAAAAATCGCTCTTAGCCATTATGAGTTACTACCCCAGTGTAGCCATACTTACAGTCATCCTGATTTTCTTCTCCATCTCAGCCCCCACAGTCAGTCACCAAATCCCAATTAATAAGTTATAAATTTCCTAAATATCTTTTCAAGCGATTTCCTACTGGTGATGACACCCAAACACCCAAATTAGAAATTCAGTGGTTATTTTAACCCCCCAGCAATACTCAAACCATATCGGAGGGAAAAATCACCTCTTCTCCGTGATCCCCTCTTCCGCAGACATATTCAACACCATCCTAGAAGACAGAACTCTGAAAGTGGAGAGGAATATCATTTTATAGCTAAGAGGCTGAGTGGTTTACTTACTGTCAGCTTAGCACAGAGCTGGGAATACGATAATCAAAAGTATAATTTATCGGGTGAATCACAACTTTGGTAAAGGTTTCTTCATTTTGCACCTGGCCTCACTGACTTGTTTCCACACTTAAATGGATCTCTTATTAAATGCTCGTAGAACGACCTCTTTTCCTTGCCCTCCAAAGTCAGTGGTTCTAACCTGCTTTGCCCCTCCCAGGCACTCAATACGGATTCTGCCTTCCAAGGTCTGGTTGTCAGTTCCCACAGACTCACCTCTTAAGGAATTTATCAACAGTTGAGTCAACTATGAGAACTTAGATAAATTTTCACTTCAGACAGGAAGGCTTGTAGAAAAGCGACAACCCGCGCTTCCCTGACACAGCCCACGTGTCCACAATAAGCCGCAGCTGGCCGTCTTCCTGAGAAAACGCAGTCTCAGAGAAATGTCAATCACAGCCGAATGTCAGCACAAGCCACACCCTCCTCAGTTCTGATTGGGGAGGTGCACTCTTTCCGGAAGTGACGCACATCTGTCAGAGGGGGAAGAGTCACGAGGAGGGGGTGATTTTTCAGTACTGAAGTCTGCGAGGTGGATACTCAAGAACGAAAGAGCGGCTCACCACGGTGCCAGACTGCCGCTCCTGACTCTCCTGGCCATGGGCCCGCGGAGCCGCGAGCGTCGGGCGGCGGCAGTGCAGAGCACCAACGACAGCAGCGCCCTCAGCAAGAGCTCCCTGGCCGCGCGCGGGTACGTGCAAGACGCCTTTGCCGCCTTGCTAGTTCCGGGGGCCGCGCGCCGCACGCCTCTCATCCACCGCGGCTACTACGTCCGCGCACGCGCCGTGCGGCACTGCGTGCGCGCCTTCCTGGAGGGGGCGTGCGCGTTCCCCGGAGCGCCTCGTGCCCAGATCCTGTCTCTGGGCGCCGGCTCCGACTCACTGTATTTTCGCCTCAAAACTGCTGGCCACCTGGCCGTTGCTGCCGTCTGGGAGGTAGATTTTCCGGACGTGGCGCGGCGCAAAGCGGAGAGGATTCGAGATACGCCAGAACTGTTGGCGTTAACCGGGCCTTTCCAGAGCTGGGACCCCACGTCCACGCTGTGCTTTGAGAGCTCGGACTACCGGATCCTAGGCCTGGACCTGCGGCAGCTCCAGCGGTTGGACCAGGCCCTGTCCGCCGCGGGCCTTGACGCGGCCGCACCGACTCTGCTCCTGGCTGAGGCCGTACTGACCTATCTGGAGCCGGCTAATGCCGCGGCCCTTATCGCCTGGGCTGCCCAGCGTTTCTCCAGTGCCATTTTCGTCATCTATGAGCAGATGAGGCCGCATGACGCCTTTGGCCAGTTCATGCAGCAACATTTTCGGCAGCTGAATTCTCCCCTGCATGGCCTGGACCACTTTCCTGACGTGGAGGCCCAGCAGCAGCGATTCCTTCAGGCCGGCTGGACTGCCTGCAGTGCCATGGACATGAATGAATTCTATCGCTGCTTTCTCCCCGCAGAAGAACGCCGGCGCATGGAAAACCTTGAACCTTTTGACGAATTTGAGGAGTGGCACCTGAAGTGCGCCCACTATTTCATTCTGGCCGCTTCTCGAGGAGACGCTGTCTCCCAAACTCTGGTGTTTCCACCATCAGAGGCCTTTCCTCGGATAGATCCTGCTTCCCCTTTAGGAGTCTTCCCAGCCAGTGTAGTGACCAGTGACAGACAGGGGCCAGACCTGAAACGATATGGCCATGCTTCTGTCCTTTTGAGCCCAGGTATTATTCTCAGTGCAGGAGGGTTTGGAGAGCAGGAGGGACGGCATTGCCGAGTGAGCAAGTTTCACGTGTTCTCAAGATACTGTGACTTTGAATGGAAAGGTAGCCAGATACGCAGCTGGGGGACTGGAGCTCAGTGGGATGGACGCCTTCATCACACCATGACAAGACTTTCAGATACTCAGGTTCTGGTTCTGGGAGGGAGACTGTCCCCAGTAACTCCAGCCTTGGGGATTCTCCAACTTCGTTTTTCTAAGAGTAACGAGAATAATAACACTGAGGACCTAAATGTAGCAATAACAAAGGCGGGTCCAGAAGAAGATTCCACTTTGTCATGTTGGCGCCATTCCACAACAGAAGTGTCTTATGAGAATCAGAAGTATTTGTTTGTGTATGGGGGTCGCAGTGTGGCAGAACCTGTCCTGGGTGACTGGCATTTCCTCCATGTGGGGACAATGGCGTGGGTCAGGATCCCAGTGGAGGGAGAAGTACCTGAAGGTCGGCATTCCCACAGTGCCTGCAGCTGGCAAGGGGGGGCCCTCATTGCTGGAGGTCTGGGTGCTTCTGAGGAGCCGCTGAGCTCTGTGCTCTTTCTGAAACCAGTCTCTTGTGGATTCCTCTGGGAATCAATAGTTATCCAGCCTCCCATTACCCCAAGGTACTCCCACACAGCTCATGTGGTCAATGGGAAGCTTCTGTTGGTCGGAGGGGTCTGGATTCATTCCTCCTCAGTTCCTGGAGTGACTGTTATCGATTTGTCTGCAGGATTGAGCTTTGAGTATCAGATTGACACAACGTGTGTGCCATGGCCATTAATGTTGCACAACCATACCAGCATCCTCCTTCCTGAAGAGCACCAGCTCCTGCTCCTTGGAGGTGGTGGGAATTGCTTTTCCTTCGGCACCTACTTCAACCCCCATACAGTGACATTAGACCTTTCTTCCTTAAGTGCTAGACAGTAAGGACTGGACTTTTAGTATATTCAGGACCAACTAAAGTAAACAATAAAGGTCTCCAAAAATAGGATTTGACTCTGGCTGTAGATATTACCACTCCCCTGCCCCCCTGCCCCTTTTTCTTCTTCATTAGCACTGCTATTCAGTACAGAAATGAAAGAAGTTGTTAAAACACATACCAAAATTCAAAAAGATTGTACAAAAGTAAAACAAATAATAGGCCTACCTGAAGAGAGTGGTCATATAGTCCTAGAGTAGCAGTTGGGGGCCCTTTGGATCCCTGTATCTAGTTTACTGGTCTTCCTCCCATTTTCTAAAGATTTTATCTGTTTATTGAGTTACAGTGACTTTTAGCCTAAGTCAAGTGAAAAATTTTCCACTCCCAGGTTTTGTGATTTGAGATGGTTCCTTGGGAAAAGTTTCACACAGATCCTTGGTAAGAATACAAGGTTGAAATAGTTGAAGGGACATGATATTGACCTGATTCTTCCTGTATGAAACCTGAAATGAACCCAGTTGCAGTTTGATTAAAGCACTGTGGCCCTTAGTGGCAGAGCCCTCTGGAATAGCTTTCATAAGACACATTTGTATGACTTTATCAAGAAATGTGCTTTTGTTCTATTTTGTCACTAGTTCCGCATTTACTTAGATGTATAAATGCTAACAGACCAAATGTTTGCTGTCTCAACTCACTTTGTAATAGTATGGTAATATTTTGCTCCAGATCTACTCTCTACCCTTCACTATGTTCTGTGCCCCAGGAGGCTGACCTTCATGAACTGCATTAATGAATTTTCTTCTTCTCTGGTTTCTGGTGAGTTCCTTCAGTCAGAAGTACCAGAGGGGGCTGGCTGGACAGGAAGAGTGAGTCAGGGCATCCTCTGCATTTCCCCTGCCAGTTGGCAAGTTAGCAGCAACCACATTCTTCTGTCAAAAGCCACAGCTCCTATCAGGTAGTCTTCTTCCATAAGATAGAGCTCTAACTGCATCACTCCCAGTTCCAGTAGTTGGTTTCTTAACCACTTCAGGCCTAGAAGCTGTAATGGCTTTTTGCTAGACTTGAGCTGCACTGTCTAATATAGTAGCCATTAGTCTCATGTAGCTATTTAAAATTTAATTGAGTTAAAATTAAGAATTCAGTGTCTTAGTTGCATTAACCACATCTTAAAACGCTCAATAGCCACATGTGACTCATGGCTAAAGTGTTAGACAATATCGATTTATAACATTTCCATCATTGCAGAAAGATCAGGACTCCACTGAGGTAATTCACCTTGACTTGCTTTTCCTGAACCCCACTCACCCCCTTTTAATTAATATCTTCATTAAACTCCCCTCAATTATCCCCTTTAAATGGATCATCTTTCCTAGTGAGCCTTGTGAGATCCATGAAACATCTTAGGTATTCATCCTTAAAACTTGAACCTTACTTTGTCATCTAAATTGTGTAAGCCTTGTGAAATTTTGAGGTAAGGTAGTGGTTTTGGTGATACTTAAGTGTACCACTTCAGTATTTCTTTTTAGTCTTCAAACCTTGAAACCTTAATAACAACTTGAGATTCTACAAGTACCTAAATTCTACAAGTATTATTAATGTTAACATCTTGATCGACTTAGTATACAGAGAATCCTTTTTCCCTAAATACCTTTATTAACAGCTTTGCATATGAATGAATGTAAAAAATGATCAGTAGGAAACCTAAGTAGCAAACACAAGCCTAGTGAATGGAAAGGGCCACGTTGGCTCTATTAGATGAAGGCTCCCAGGGAAAGACAAGCTGAATAAAGTGCTGTCATCTAACTTCAGCTTCCCTGAGACTGCAGGGCCCTTTCTGGGCAAGTTATTAGTTATGGTTATGAATGAGTCCTGGGAAACAAAGGGCTTACCACAGCTAGGCCTCCGATAAGACTTTCACTGGGCCAGGTGCTAGGTAACTGGCAGGCACAGGACCAGAAAGGGAAAAGGTTGCTCTGTATTTCCTGTTTTGAAGTTTCACCACAAGCCTGCCTCCAACTTTCAGGGGCAGATCAAAGTAGAACATCGATGAAATGAGTGTTCTCAGCTACGCAGTAGTTAGTACCAGAATTCTAATCCAGAAGTGACTCCAAAGCTCAGGGTGCACCTTCCATCATGCTATCTCTTAGCTAGTACCATCAACCATTATTATTTCATTACTTTTGGGCAATACAGAGGTGTGGTGGTGGGGTGGGGGTTTGCGGGGGGGAATGCCAGGAGAATGTGGATGTGGGCCAGGCCTAAATTAGTAGTGCCATGGTGCCTACTCTCGAGTGCTGCCCAGGCTGGTGCATTATGAGTAATTGGGCTTGTTCTCCCCAGGGAAATTACCCATATTTTCTATGTGATTACCAGATTAAGCATGTCCTCCACCTCTGACCCTGTACATGCATCATACTCAGTTAAGGACTTACTCATTTCTCAAGCTCTACTCATGAGAGAACTTAAGAGTTTTGTCAGCAACATTTACTCTGTGACTTTGGGGCGGAACTCAGTGGTGCTGGACCCCAGTTTCCTAACAGCAATCTGCAGTGGTTAGAGATGTGCGCCAGACTGAGGACTGAAGCTGGACTATGTACTTTTTGCTTCTCCATTTCACCTCTGAATATTTTTGTTGTAAAATTCTGGTATGGAGCTCTGAGGTAGTTATGAGAGTTAATGAAAGGCCTTTATGTCATTTAATGATTGTACTTCCTTTTAGACCAGAAAAACTAGTTAAGGAAGGAAGGGAACTTCTTATTTTGCATCTCTACTCTGTCAGGGTCTCAAAAACAGTGATCATGCCAGTGAGGATATGTACACAAGGTTAAGTATGACTCTTCTAGGATATATTCCTCAAAGGCCAGTTCTGTCACTTCCTCTTGTGCTGTCTAGATTTTGCCACTGAATGTCTATTTTTCATCTTTATGTAGATTTAATCCTCCTTAGTGATATTAGGAGGTTAACATGTAACAGATGCATTCCAGTGTTCAGGCATTGCCTTGGTCTCCTCTTTTAGAGACCTCAGATTTTGAAGTCCTGGTTTATTCCATATGCATTCTGTGATCCCAAATCCATCTTAAACAACCCATACCTACTCTAGGACCGATCCCACATGACATCTAGAAAACACTCACACATGTCAGCCCCAAAAGTAATCAACCACTGTCTCCCTGTGCAAGAGAAGCCTGTGCTCTGTGGAGGGTCTGGTGAATAAGAGAGCTAGTTACTAAGGTGAACTCTCAATCACAGGGACCATCTAATGATGTCTTGTGTGACATTAAAACTAAACTAAGCTTTTTGACTGCAGTAATGAAGAGGGAGGTATACAATAGCATTAGGCTGGCAAAGTACGAGATGAATCCTTACTAATCACATTTGGACTTGATGTTTAAAGAGAGAAGGAGAATATACAGAGTAGATATTATGAAATGTATAATCAGCTTTAGAGTAGGCCAAGATTTCCTTGGATGTCAATAGTTGTGTAAACAAAAGAATTCTGTCATTCCACAGTTTAGTTTTAAGACTGATCACTTATCCTTCTTGGACAATGACCGAAAGCACTTGCTTTGGAAGGGGGAGTTCCTTGACTAAGGGAAGGAATTATGTCTGTCTATTTCACTTCTCTATCCCCAACATAGTAGATGCTCAATAAATACTTGTTGGCTGGAGAGCCAATCTGACACTCAAATAAAATAATATTCAAATAAATTTGAATAATATTATTGTGCCTACCATGTACAAACAAATGTCAAAATTCCTTTAATTACTGTGTGTGTGTATTGGGGGGGCATTAAACTTTTAAAGATCCCCTATTAAAAGTTTTTAAAGTTCAAGTGCCTTGATCTGAGTAAAGGGTAGGCTTCCTGATGGTACTCCTAGCTTTACAAAATACACCTAAACCTGCTCCTTGATTGCAATTTCCAGCTGATCTTCATCCCCTTTTGCTTAACAACGGACCATGGTTACCCTGTATCCACTGGAAATGAAATGAGCTAACTTTGCTGAAAGGCTAATCTGAGGGAGTAGGAACACGCAATTAAATTTACTTGTAAGCACATAAACACAGGATCTTCCTAGGATGTGGTGATGCTTCACTGGGCATAACTTGCTGTGTAACTCTCAAAGTAAGTTAAATGGAGGAAGAGGAAAGACCTTGCCCTAATATTTATGTGAAAAGTCTTGCCACCTAATTGGCAGACTAAGACTAGGAAAAAAAATTGTAGTAAGAGTGATTTTTAGGATATTACACCACATTCTGCTTTTCTCATTCCCAAGCTTTTGTCCACATTTTTAGGCTTTTCATTGGCTCTATCCCTGGTTCATATTTAGACTTACTATTTCAGGAAAAGTTAGTAAAGCTGATCTTTCTTATTCATGGATACATCAGCAATTTAACTAATTCTTAGGAGGAAAAAAAACCTTTGCCATTTCCCTTCCTTCTTTCAAAAAAACCTCAATTAAAAAAGCAGAGTCTAGACCTCAATCCACTGAATTATATTTGGACAAATGGGTCCAGCCAGCATATTTTCATTTCCAGTGCATGACACATAGTAAGTGCTCAAAAAAAGTAACATGAATGGATCTATGTTTGATCTAGGCTAAAGTGTAGATAAATAGTGAATTATAGTGTTAAGATAAAGATTACCACCAGAAAATCAAACTATACTGTAAAATCATAGTAATTAAAAATAGCTTGATATTGGTGCCAGAACAGACAAACAGATTGAAGGAACAAAGAATTAAAAAATAGACTGTATGATAAGGTAACATTTCAAGTCACTGAGGAAAGGCTAGACTATTTAGTATATGATTCAGGACCACCTGGCTCCTACTTCTCACAAATCACAAACATAAATTCCAGAAAGACCAGACCTACACTTAAAAAACAAAGCAAAACTAAGTTATAAGAGCATTAGAATAAGTATAAAACAATATGTTTATAATCTTAGTGCCAGGAAAGGTCTTAGAGAACATATACACACAAATAAGTATCAGGGGGAAATCTGATTATTCATTTAAAACTCCAGGACAATGAGAAAATACATTCAAATGTTAAGATTAATGATAGCT